TGGGGAGGCTTGAACTCCTCCCTGCCTTTGATTTTTAGATGAATCTTGCTTGAACCTTCTTCTGTCTCTGTTAACTCTCCATCTGTCTCCCTTACTTGACATGCTGTATCCAAGACTGTTCCCGGTGCTTCCAGCCTCTCCCTGGCCTAACGAGGGGGACGAAGGCTCCCCTTCAGTGGGAATGTGTGTTCTGGGAAGGGATGAACTCGGGGGAGGCATCAGAGGTGACTTCACTGAATTATTCATTTTGGGAAGGACTCGGGGAAAATTGATTATCCCCTTCTTCAGAACATCAGGAGAAGGAGTTCACGCACTGAAATTAGAGCGACAAATGGAGATCAGATGGAAGGCAGGGCTGCTCTGGGGCTGCCAGGCAGGGTTTGTTCCTGCAGGAAGCCGTTTCTCACGGCGGCTGGGCCATGGGGAGGGCTGGATACCTTCCTGCAGCTCAGGATGTTCCCTGGGGGAGATGAGGCCAATCCCATCTCCTGTGGCAGGCTGGGAGCGAGCAGGGGCAGGGGATGAGTTATCACCCTGGGCCAGCATTGCTCTGTGTGCCAGGGATGCTGTGGGCTGGTGCCAGGGCCCCCTGCAGAGGGCTGGGAGCTTCTATAGGGGCTGGAGGTGCTTTGGGGCTCTCCTGGGTTCTCCTGGGAGATGTGGGGCTTTGGGTGGCCCAGTGCTATGGCTTTTCTTCCAGTATCTGTGAGCCCTTGCAGTCATTTAGGTTGGATCTCGGGAAAAGGTCCTTCCCCCAGAGGGTGGTTGGCACTGACCAGGCTCCCCAGGGCAGTGGGCACAGCCCCAAGGCTGCCAGAGCTCCAGGAGTGTTGGGACAGCTCTCAGGCACATGGGGGGGATTCCTGGGGAGTCCTTTGCCCATCCAGGAGTGAGACTCGATCCCTGTGGGTCCCTTCCAGCTCAGGATGTTCTATGATCTGTTTTCTTTGCACAAGTGGATCTGTACAGCACGGCCATGGTATGGGCAAGGACAGCTTTCCCTCTCTCATGTGTTTGTAGCACCTAAAATGCCTGATCCAGAACCAGGTCAAACTATGCTGGAGAAATTGTGCTCAAAATACCACAAAAGACCTGCTCTGAGCAGGAATGGCCACTGTGTCGAGGTCAGGTTGGACAGAGCTCTGAGCAGCCTGGTCTAGTGGAAGATGTCCCTGCCCATGGCAGAGAGTTGGAACGAGATGAGCTTTGAGGTTCTTTCCTACCCAAAGCATTCCAGGATTCTCTGATACTCCATGTCCTGGCAGTAACAGCACGGGCAGGGGCTGCTGCTGTGCTGCTCTCCAGGACAGGCTCAGCAATCTCAGGGGTCTGCAAATAAAATGCTGACCTGAGCCTTTCCTGGGCTTTGATATTTCCAGGAATACTTCTGCCTGTGTTGGGCTGGCTCCCTGTTGCCAGTTTAAGGAGCTTAAAGCTTTGATAAAGGGCTTTCCCTGGGCAGGAGCAGCCGGCCTGGGAAGGATTTTGTATTCTAAGAGCAAATCTTTGGGCATTGTTGTGTCTTTGGGCAAAGTGCCTGTCTGTCTGAGGGGAAAAGGAGCCTATGAGGTGAGAGATGGCAGGGAAACACTCTGTTTGTGTGTTGTGAAGAGGAGAAAGGGCAGTATTCTGCAGGAGGAAGGTGCCTGTGCGGGCGATGGGCAGAGAGCAGGATCAGCAGCTGCCGGTGCCGAGGACTCGCCGCTGCCTCTGGCTGCTGCAGGAATCTGCAGGAATCTGCAGCACCCTTCCAAAACATGCAGGCAGCCAATGCTCCCAGCTCCACGCTGCCAGATAGAGCTGTCATTCTGCAGCCTGTCCCTCTGTGCTCAGGGGAACAGGCTGGTTTGGCCACTGGCAGCCTGGAGCTGGTGGATGCTCTGCTGAGCTGCCCCGTCACCCTCCCTGCCTTGGCAGGTCCCTTCCCCAGGATGTCCCATCCCCAGGAAGTCCCTTCCCATGCTGGAGGTACAGCCAGACATTTGCTTTGCAAACTTCAAACTCCTGGAACACATTTCTGATGAGGTTTTTCTGATTGGCAGGTTCTGGGATCAGTCTGGGAAATTGCTTTATGTTTTTCTGGAGGATTTTTGAGCAGTGGTTGAAGCCAAGAAGCCTTTCAGCATGTGTGTGTATATATATATTTTTAAGCAGCACTGTGTTAGCATTTTCTAGCATTTTCTCTCTTTTCATCCTCCACAATAAGATTATTTCCTAGGGTTTGAAAATGCCCTGTTGCTATTGTGATTTCTTAGCCCTCAAACCCAACTTTCTGGAAGATCTTTCTTCCCAGGACTGTGTCAGGATGCCTGGGAATGGATGTGTGTGATCTGGCCCTGATGCTGTGGTGTAAGTCTCCTCAGATCTGAGACTGTGCTGGGGCTGATAGGAAGAACATGTGTTCCAGCAAGCCTCATAAGGCTGTGGAGAGTTGCTGAGTTGGGGGTCTCTGCTCTTGGATTCCACAGGGTTTGGATCCTGTCTCAGGACAGAGATGTCTCCTGAGCCCCCTGCAATGGAGCTGGCTCTGAAGGATAATTTAGGACAGGAATCACTCTTGTGTGATGCAGTAGGGAACGGGAAAGGTTAATCTTTCCTTCTTGTTGTATACAAACGACTTGGGATGTTTGTAGCTCACCAGTGGGATTTGATAACTTTATTATCCAAATAATAAGATTTACAAATTAACTGTCTAATTAGCAACCTGGGAAAGCTGCTGCTCGTGCTGGGGTTTCTAAACTGACAAAGACGTGGCTTAAACTGCTGAAGTGTGATGACAGCAGGAGGGCACAGCAGTGGAAAGATCTATCCCAACTCCTCCCATCCGTTGGGTGGGATGCACGTCTGGGAGCTGGGACGAGTTTGCTGACGTGAGACCCTGTACCTGATTCAGTCTGTTGGCCCTTATTTCTTTTTTTCATGGATGGAGCATTCACCTAAGCGTGTGTGAAGTGTTCCAGTGGATCTTTCTGAGGCTTGTGGAGCTTCCATTGAAGCACTGGATGCAAAGCCTGCCCTGCTGCCATCGACAGAGAGCTCCAGTTTGCGTTGGATGCACAGGGAGGTGTTGGCTCCACCATCCTCTAGTGGATTCTCTTTACAGTCTATATTATCCTTACAATTTATATTAGAATCCTGGAATGGTTTGGGTTGGAAGGTGCTTTGAAGACCATCCAGTTTGACCCCCTGCCATGGGCAGGGACACCTTCCACTATCCCAGGTTACTCCAAGCCCCGTCCAACCTGGCCTTGGACACTACCAGGGGTGGTCTTTAAGGTCCCTGCCAACCTAAGTCATTCCATGATAAATTCAGCCTGGTAGCAATCTTATTCCTTTTGTTGAGCTGGCACTATCCCTGCTCAGCTGGGCAGCTCCTGCTGCAGCCCAGACTGGCAGCAGAGCACCCTCCCGACGGCGCCTGAGCTCCGGCGTGTCACAGAGCTTATTGAGTTTACACACACACTTCGGGAGAAACCCTTGCTAATAGAGTCCTAATTTCTTCCTTCCTGCTTCCCAGATGCTTCTGTCTCCATATAAAAATGACAGAGATGGTGAGCAATGCTTACAAGAAAATGTTTGTTTGTTTGACTCAGAAAAGCAAGTGAGAGGTCCTGCGAGGAGAGAGCTCTTGGCAGATGTTCTGCCTTAAAACCTCCTGGGTCTGTTGTTTTCACAGTGAAAAATGTGAAAAGGAAAAGGAATTCGCAGCTGGATGTAGCAGAGGACAAAGAGGGGATTGTGAGGTTCATGGCCCATGTCACTCACCTTTTCCTTGTTCCTTAGGAAAAGTCCCATAGTGCTGCAACTGTTCTTGTTCATGGCTCAGTTTGGTTCCTGAGCTCTGTCTCCAAACCTCAGTGCTGCTTCTCATCTTCCCAAGGGCCTCTCTTTCGGGAAAAGGCTGTGGCAGATGAGAGCCCTGAGGCAGAGTGTGGTGCTCAGGCTTCCCCTCAGAATCAGGGCTTGTTCCCTTTGCTCCATTCCTGCCTGGGCTCCCTTTGGGCATGGTGGTGCCCCCAGGAGCTGAGGTCCCACCTAGGGATGGGGCACAGTGTGGATGTGGTGCAGAGTGTGGGTGCACCCAGGCAGGAGCTGGCACTCAGGAGGACGTGACATGAGGGGCGAGGTGGTGCCTGTTCCCCAGACCTGGGAAATCCCAGCTCCTCAGAGCAGTGCTGCCACCTCCAGCTGCAGGGTGAGGTGGGCTGAGACCCTCGAAAAATACCTGGACCATCAGCTGAAGTTCCCTGCAGTGCCAAATGGCTCTTCAAGGTCTGTTACTGAAGGTGATGTGTTTATTTGTCATTTAGGGAAAAAGTTCACCCTAAAGTATGGTACTCTGACTGCAAAAACTCCAGAAGTAGTGCTGGCATCTTCAGACTGGCACGTGCTGGAAGGGTTTGGTAGTTTAGGGGATGGGGACTTAGCTCTGGATACTTTTACTTGGAAGTCTGGGTAGGGGCACGTTGGGATTGATTTCCTGTGCTGTTCCCAGAAGGGCGACTGTCGTCGACGTGCGTGAGGGGAGGGAGCCGTGCGTGTCTTCTGGTCTGGCAAACGGAGGCTGGGGAGATGCTGAAGAAAAGCAGAGCTGTGGGAGGAAAATTGCCCACCTGTTCCCTCAGTACAATCTTCCATTTTTGGACACATGCACTTTTCAGCTCAGATACCCGCGAGCGCCAGATTCTCCCTCTTTTTATTCCCAGCGGTGACCTCAGTGTGTGCCACAAGTGACAATGAGCTCAGAGGAACAGAAGGGTTCCCAGCCCTCCTCTGGCATTTGCTCAACACTTTGTTCTGCTGGGTTTTACTGAAATGCCTGGTCCAGTCGGTGATGTTCAGTAAGGGTTAAAACTCTGCCACAGGTTAAGAAACCCGCTCAGGCTGTGGGGCCTCTGCTCACAAATCAGCTGCAGCCGCATTTTATGTTGTTAACTCCTGGTTCTCGTGGTGCTGATCTGTGACGTGCTCCTCACCCCCTCCCTGTCTTCTCTTTGCAGTTTGCTGCTTCGTCGTGCACAAGCGGTGCCATGAGTTCGTCACCTTCTCCTGCCCTGGCGCTGACAAAGGCCCTGCCTCTGATGTAAGTACAGGTGTGGTGCCCTGGCTGTGGGCACAGCGTGGTGCTGAGGGGCTCACTGTGGTTCACAGCCCTTCAGAGAGGATGTTCCTGCAGCTTCTTGCTTGAGGGCACTTCTGTGCCGTTATTTCACGAGCATCTCTGATTCATGGAGTCGTTTAAGTTGGAGCCTCTAAGACCGAGTCCAACCATTCCCCCAGCACTGCCAAGGCCACCACTAACCCACGTCCCCAAATGCCACATCAACACGGCTTTTAAATCCCTCCAGGGATGGTGATTCCATAGTTATGGGGACTCTCGTGTTTCTGGGACTTAAAACGCTGAAGCCACCCAGTAACTTGCTCTCAGCAGAGCAGGGAGAATGTCTGGGGATGCAGAGAGTTCCCTTTGGGGCTGACCCTGCAGCCTTGCCCCAGAATCATTTCATCTCTTGCGTCAGAAAACCACCCAAATGCCTGCTATCTAAGTCCCCCTCCTTGTTTTCACGAGGATTTTCTTTCCCAGTGGATCTTTTGGGGTGAGTGGGAGCCAGGGCAGCAGAGCTGGGCTCCTCACACGGCTCTGCCAGCCCCGTTCGGGTCCGTCTGGCAGGTTTTGAGCTTTGCCGTGGAAACTGGCTAATTTGGGGAACTGCTGGGAGAAAAGAGCTCAAATTGGGGAAACGACAGAGCACCACAACTCTCACCCTTAAAAATAGAAGTGGTGGGAGCAGGCGGCGTAACAGGCTGCGGAAGGTGGAGGCTAAACACATGTTGTCGATCGCCCTCCCGAATCGGGGCTGTGTGCTGGGCTGGGGGGAGATGGGGGCCTGGAGGCTCCCAGGGCCATCAGCAGTGGGTGAGGTTCATCCTGGGCTGGTGGGTGATGGTCGAACCTGAGCCGTGGCAGCCTCTGCTTGCGCAGCCTCCGCGGGAGCAGCCGCGGCACCCCCGGCCCTTCCTGCCCCCGGCACAGCACACCCAGGGGAGGTGACAGTGCCACTGCTGTCACCCACAGGACAAGGGCCCCTGAGGGCTTTGCCGTGCTGGGAGTACCAATGGAGGTGTGGGCAGGAGCTGCTGCCTGCTTGGGGTGAGGCCAAGGGAGAGGCTTGGCTGGAATACGAGCACCCCTCTTCCAGCTCTGGGTGCCCGGGGCACGGCCAGGTCCTTACAGGGAAGCACTGGGTGGGTGTGTGTGTGTGGGTGTGTGTGTGTGTGTGCACAGCCAGGTCCTTACAGGGGAGCACTGGGGGTGTGTGTGTGTGTGCACAGCCAGGTCCTTACAGGGGAGCACTGGGTGTGTGTGTGTGTGTGTGTGTGTGTGTGTGTGCACAGCCAGGTCCTTACAGGGGAGCACTGGGGGTGTGTGTGTGTGTTTGCACACCCAGTGTGCCTGCACAGTGTTTGTCCCACAGCCCTGGCCTAGAGCAGCTCACTCGAGGGTTTGAAGCTGCAGGAGAGGGAAGTGATGGTCTTAGGCTGCTCAGCTTCCTGCCTCTGCTTTTCTTCTGGGAACTTTCACTCCCTGTCTCTGCAGCGGGTGCTCGATGAAACAGGGCGAGGAGAGCTGGAGAAGGCGTGGAGAAACGAGAGGAGAGTGGTGGAGGGGCATCCCTTCCCCGAGGGATGAGCCTGGCCATCCAGGCAGCACAGGTGTCTGTGCCCTCTGGGCAGTGCCAGTGCCTGGGGTGGCTGTGGGTGCCACTGGTGTGTGCTGGGCTCCCTGCACCCTGAGCCCACAGTGCTGGAGGCTTTCCAGACCCTCAATGTGACACTGTGGAGTTCCCTCTGGCCGTGGGGCTGCAGCCCTGACACGCTTTCTCTCTGTTCTCTGTCATCTGAAACACAAAGGCAACAAGACCCACAGGTCTGTCTCGTGCCCTGCCTGGGGCTGTGGCAGGGATGGCACCTGTGCACAGTATCTGCTTTGGCCAGTGCTTGGATGTTTGTGTGGACTGAGATGAAATCTGGCTGCTAAGGCTGCTTTAGGTGCAGTGTGATTGATGGAGAAGGAACTGGAACCTGAGCAGAGCCCGGGCTCCCACCCCGGCTGTGGGCACCCAGGGGGGTGACAGTGGTGGGCGAGGGGGCACCCAGGGGGGTGACAGTGGTGGGTGAGGGGGGCATCAGCCCTGCAGCTGCGAATGGCCCTGGGAGCAGCTGGGTGGGTGCCCAGGGCACTCTGGTTGGTGCAAGGGAGATGGGAACGCTGAGAGCACCTGCCCTTGCTGAGGGAAGATGGGGTCTGGCAGTGCAGGGTGGCAGGGCTGGGATCCAGCTGCCGCCTCTGGAGCAGTGCTGGGAGCCTGCCTGGCACTGCCTCAGCATCTCTGGGGAGCAGCCTGAGCCCCCAGGACAGGCAGCAGGAGGGGGGACGCTCCACCTGCCCTGCTGGTGGTGCACACAATAGTTTGCTTTCCCTCCTCAGCAGCCCTGCCCAGGCTGGGCACACAGAGAGCAGCGAGGAGCCCTGGGGCAGCCAGGTCCCAGCTGGTCTCTCCAGCAGCTCTGGGTGACTGTGGGCAGCCTCTGCCTGGCAAGGGAAAGGCCTAATTTAAATGCAAGTTGTCACATTTGAAGAGGCCCCACAATATGGGGGCAGGTGTAAAGGCCCTTGGGCACATTCCCTGTGCTTGCTGTTATCCCTGGGTGAGTGTTGCCCCCCTGGCACAGCCCTCAGACAGGTAACAGCTGCCCAGTGCTGTTAATGAACCTCTTATTACATAATTTCTGAAAATGAAGAGGGATGCAGATGCTTTGGATGAAAGCAGGGAGAAGATGGTGCTTTCATAGCTGTTTTGTTTGTTTGTTTGGTTTGGTTTTGTGTTTGTTTTGTTTTGTTTTGTTTTGCTATTTAGCAAAGCCCCCCAGAGCCCCTCTGGTCTGTACCACTGCCCCTCTGTCACCAGGGGATGAATGCAGGACAGAATTCCTTCCTCCTGCACAGTCAGTTATGCTCTTCCAGCAGTACCATTATAATATATAATATTTATAATTACATAATCGTATAATCCTTAAGGAGCTTTGAATCAGGAGAGGGAGAACTACAGCACACAGCACTGCCCTGTCAGCTTTGGGATGAGCCAGGACTGGGGCTTTGCTTTGAACTGATGCAAAGCTGGACTTGCCTGTGCTCTGCGGTCGCTGATAACCGTGGTGTGAGTCCAGAGACACCTGATGTCACATCTGGTGGCATCAGGCTGTGCTGGGGACACTGATGTGTTTTTTCAGTTGGTGCCACAAGCTGCTAACTCTTCCAGCAACATGAATCTCCAGTGAATCCAGCAACAATAAGGAGCTTAATTTATTGCATGTGTTAAAGCTCGCAGAGGGAAGGGAGCCCAGCAGTGAATGGCCCAGCAGTGCAGGGCTGCTGCAGCCAGGGCTGGGGCTCACGGTGCCAGCTGGCTGCTGCTTTGCTTCCCAGAGCTGCTCTTTCCTCTGGTCTGGTCCTGGAACCCAGGGGAAAAAAGTGTATTAAAAAAATATCTTCCAACTTTGCTCCTTGATCTCTGTGTCTTCATAGTTACTGGAGAATCAAGAGGAAAAGCCTTTTCCCCTGTGCAGTGCTTATGGTCTGTCTGAACATTTAAACACCTGTGTAATTCTAATTACTGAAATAAAACTCCTCAGCTTGAAGTTCAGGATGTGCTGAAGTGCTTTGGGGGATGCAGGCTGGTGCATGCACAGATAACCTGGGGTGAGCTGGTGTTTCACACTTGGGGAGCAGAGCAGAATCCCTGGAGACCACTGAAATGTCAGAGTCTGTCTAGTGATGACTGGACAGACTTTGGGGGGTTTCTATTTGATCTGGTTGTGTTTGAACCTCCTTGAAGAGAAGCGAGAGTTGTGTGTTTAACCTTGCCAAGCCTGCTGAGTAGGAGCCTTGCATCTAGGAGAGAGGACTAATTACACATGATAGGGCTCTAAGTAGAAAAAAATGAAAGATTAATTGCTTCTTGCAGCAGAGAATGGAGCTGTATCTGCAGCTGTTGGTGCTGCAGACATCGGGCTGTGTTCATGCCACGCTGGTCGGGGCAGGATTTTATTCCACACTGAGGTGCTGTCAGGCTGGGATCTCTCCCCAGCATTCCCTGAGTGAGAGCTGATGAGGGGCTGGCAGCCCAAAGCCCTGCCTGCCCTGTGCAGTTCTGGTGCTCCTCATTGCCAGCTCTGGCACTCCTGTGCCTCGTCTTGGCAGGAGGCAGAGCTGCCACGGCCACTCTGACCCACAGCGAGGACTCCAGGAGCTCAAACCAGGCATGTGAAATGTATTCCAGTTGGCAAACCTAATTATAGCCAGAGCTATTAGTAGAATGCATAATTATTTAAATTGTAGACAAAATAATCATTAAAATGACCTTCTTTGCATGATCCTGTTAAAGGTCATCTAATCAGGATGCATTAATGAATATCAGAGTTGCTCCTGGAAGGTAACAGGCCAGTGTAGCTACATTTCAATTTTGCTTGTAGATTGTCCCTGTTTACAGCATGAGGAGAGGATTTCAGGAGGAATTTGTTCCATGGAAAGGGTTCCATGATGTGCCCATCGAGTCAGGACCTTCCTGGTGACTCCAAGCACCCTCTTGCCCATGTGCTGCCTCAGAGCGCAGGATCTGCTCCCTCCTCACATCTCCCATTCCTCTGGCCTTCACTGTCCAGCACTTTGGCAAATCCTCACAACCTTCCTGCAACTTGCTGCTTGCTTTTGTGCTGCTAATTAACTTCTCCAGCTCCCGTGCTGTGCCATCTGCCCCTCAAGCGAGGGCACCTGCTCGCTGCTCCAGCAGCCGGTGACAGTTCCCCTGGGATGAAGATGTATCTGCCTTGCTCCCTCCCAGCACCTTCTGGTGCTTCCCTGGCTCTGCCACAGCCCGACTCCTTCTCCTGGCAGCCTGCACATGGCTCCAGCCCCGGGATTGAAAAGCTCTTCTCTCATTGTCTCGCCTTGTTTGTGTCTGGTTACTGATGGAGCAGATGGTTGGGTCTGTGCCCTCCCCGTGGCTCCAGAGTACCAGGGCTGGGTCTGAGGTGGGTTTGTGCCCTCATCAGGAGGGTGATGAGGTGGGTGCTGCAGCCTGTGTTCACGCAGGTGGCACCAGCTGGGGGTCCTGCAGACAGGAGGTGCTTCAGGGGTCTCTGTGCTGTTCCAGCACCCAGAGGCTGCAGGGAAAGTGCTGTGGGAGCCCCACTCTCATGGAGATGTAATAAAATGACTCTCAAGGGTGTGCAAGATACCAGACATGTCTAAATGATGTAGAGATGCAAGTGCTGCTCTGGGAGAGAAGCTGAGTTTGGCTTTTTTTTTTTTTATTGCTGCTTGGCAAGAGAAAGCGTTTTATTCAGTGTTGCCAGCAGCAAGAGAAGAACAACTGTTGTCCATATCCCTCTGCAGTTGTCTGACGAGAGGATGAGATCTTTTGTCAATAAAAATGTATTTACTTGCTGGAAGCTGTCAGGGGCAGGTCGTGTTTGATGTGGAAGCAGCCCCAGCCGTGGTGCCTGTGCCCGCAGCCGTGTCCGTGCTGCTCCGCTGGCCCTTCCCCAGGAGCTGCCTCCATCCTGCTGCCACTGTCCTGCATCCTGCCGCCTGCACGGCTGTGCCCTCAGGCCCTGTGCTCTGTGAGCTGCTCTGTGGCTGGAATGCTGGAAAATACAGAGAAATAGTTCTGGTGTCACTCAGTGGTGCAGCAGTGCCTCTGAACCGTGTCACGCTGAGGCAGGCTTCTGAGGAGAGCTTATGGTGGTGGAGAAGATGCTGCAGAATCATGGAATCCCAGACTGGTTTGGGTTGGAAGGGACCATCTAGTTTCGACCCTCTGCCATGGGCAAGGACACCTGATGGAGCCCCAGATTTTTGCTGTCTTACCTTGAATAGGACCTGTGTTTTCCTCTTGCCTGTAACCTCCTTTCCACAGAGTCTCTGGTTTATGGTGACTCTTCTCATTGAAACAAAGACCCAACACTCTTGTGCCCTTGTTCCTGAACTTCTTTGCTTGGTTTTTGCTGGGACTTGAGCTGTTTCTCCGCTGTGGTGTTCTTCCAGCCCTGTGCAGGCAGGTGGGGTGGTGCAGGGGGTGATGGCTCCGAGGCAGCGCTGGTCAGGAAGGGCAGAGTCTCTCCATGCACTGACATTCTCCTCCTGGCATTTTCCAGTCCTGCTCCAAAGAGAGCTGTGCCTGCCCTGTTCTTCAGGCCGGCTCTGCGCTGGTGGGGGAGGAGAAGTGCTTTTTCTTTTCTTGGCAAACTTCTTTTTAACCATTCTTGTTTTAAGTCTCAGCATCTGCATGCGCAGTGTTCTCGTCATCCCTGTCTCGGTGGGACAAAAATAGGCTCTTTGTACAGCGACTTCAGCCTCGTTCGAGAATGATATCCAGAACTGCCGATTTCTGGCACTTTCTAAGGCACTGGTCAAGGTGACACGGGCCCCACACATCCCAGCAGCCAGAGAACTGGCTCTGCCTCCCTCTTCCTGGCTGCTCCATCACCCTCACACCCTTTGGGCTCTGCCCCTCTGCGTGTGGGTCTCTCCAGAGCAGCCCCTTGGGCAGATGGGAGCAGAAGGTGAAGCCTGAAGTGTTCCCATGAGGGATTTAGCCCCTCTGAGCGGGGGGTGCCATCCCCCAGGGCTGTGGTGCTGGGTTTGGGGAACTCAGCGTGCTTCAACACACACTTTGCTTTTCCAGCTCTGACTTCTTTAACTCTGGGTTCCAGTGGGAATTCAACATCCTTCGCAAGAAGTGGGAATCGTCTCCTTTTGCATAAAGCTTGTGTTTTTTATGAATGACTAAAGCTTTCTCTTGCCTAAACAGGACTGTGTTTCTAGAAGGGAGCACAGAAGCTGGAGTGCCTGGGGGCGATTCCTCCCTGTGCCACACGCTGGCACGGGGCTGCTGCTCATCCTGCCCCCTGTTCCCCTCACCCCTGTGCCCTGTCCTGCTGGCTGAGGGTCAGGGGTGCTGGCTGATGCCCAGGGGGCTCTGCAGGATGCAGGACCTTTCTCCTGGGACAATGGCAAGGGAATCACAGGATCCCAGCACGGTTTGGGTTGGAAGGAACCTCACAGACCATCCTGAAAGGTCGAGCCCAGGCTGCCTGCCCCCACCCACCTCCTGTTCTAGCCTAAAATCCAGCTTTCAGCTTTCTCTGCTCTCCTGTGTCCCTGAGCAATGCAAAAGGCTTTCAAACCTGCGGTGTCACTTAAGGAACTGTCTCCTTGGGGTGTCCAGAAGGCAGGTTGATTGTGACCCTTCTTCCCCTTGGCTTTCCTGGGCCACAGCTGGCACAGGGGCTGCCAGACAGAGCCACGCTGGGCTCTGTGTCTACAACTGGTTTGCTTGGGGTAGAAGGTGAGGGGTTTCCAGTTTCAGTACAAATTTGCTGAAGCCTGTGCCTGATTCCTGGCTCTTCACAGACTGAATTAAAGGAGGCTCTGTTAGTTTTGCCCCTCACTGGTGTCATGGGGTTTATCTGTGGTGCTGAGTAACAAAGCAGAATGTTGGTAATTAATGCAGCTGGAAGCGTCAATGCAACAGTGCTGGGAGATTAATTTTGGGGGGGAAGGGTGTATTGGCAGCGATGTTATAGCTCGCTTCTGATTCCACTCTTTATTTATTTACTCTGCTCACAGTGCCCTGAAAAGGTGTCTTTGCTAATGCCCAGGCAGCTTTCCAGGCCATTAAAAAGCTGCTCAGCTCAAATGACAGAGCGGGAGCCGTGCCTTATCCCCAACCCTTAAACAATTAACCTGAGATGAAATCAAGCTGCTCCCTGCTGGAATCTTCCCCCTGGCCTGCGTGTGCTGCTCCCAGAGGTGTGGAGCCCCAGAGCCCTCCTCTGCACAGCCCAGCTGCTCCAGGCTCTCCTGCTCTTCCACAATTGTATTTTCATGCCTGGAAGATACCAAGAAATACCAAGCTTTGCCTCAGTGCTTTATCCTATCATCTCCTGACTGAGAAGTTGTTCCTTCTGGAGGTTGTTTCACTGGCACAGGTTGGGCAGAGAAGCTGTGGCTGCCCCATCCCTGGAAGTGTCCAAGGCCAGGCTGGACAGGGCTTGGAGCAACCTGGGCTGGTGGAAGGTGTCCCTGACCATGGCAGGGGGTGGAATGGGATGATGATCTTCAATGTCCTTCCAGGATTCTACAATTTGAGTTTGTTTGGCTTTAACTGCCTTTGCTGGAGCCCTGTTTGCCTGGTACCTGCAGGAATAAAGGGATAAACTGGGTCTGCACACTCTGCTACAGAAAAATCTTCCCTTGCTTTTAAGAAAGCTCAAAATATTAAAGTATCCCCCAAGCAGCTTGAATCCCTGGGATCATGCTGGGGAGGGCTGGCACTGGAGCACAGAGATGTTTCCTGGGCAGGCTTAATATAGATGGAATCATGGGGGGTTTGTCCTGCTCTGCGTGGAAGCTGGGCAGTGTCCAGCCCTTCTGTTGGTTCGGACCTACCAATTTCACCTGGTGTTCTCCACGCTCAGACCGAGTTATTGACAAAGAATAAATCCCCCAGACGAGCCCATGCATTGCTTTTTCATTGTTATGGCAACACGTCTAAAGAGGAATAAAGCTGGCTCCTGGTGATTGCTGGAAAAGGTCCCCACGAGTCGGGGGCAGTCGACTGAAGTCCATTAGCAGCACCTCCAGAGCCAGCTGGCACATGGAATGGGCAGAGCGGGGGTGCCTTGCCAGTATTTGATGTAAGTTTATAATCTTTGTCCTTTGTTTTCCTCCCAGGATCCCCGGAGCAAGCACAAATTCAAAATCCACACATACTCCAGCCCCACCTTCTGTGACCACTGCGGGTCGTTGCTGTACGGGCTCATCCACCAGGGCATGAAATGTGACAGTAAGTGATGGCCCCGCTGGCTCTGCCTGCACCGTGGGGGGGGGCTCTGGCACCCCATGGGAGGCTGTGGCACCCCGAGGTCCTGGGCAGGGGCTCCCAACCCACCTGAGCTGCAGCCAAGAGCCTGTTCCCTCTGGCCGTGGTGCAGGGCACACTATGGGGCTGCTGGGGGCACGAGTGGGCACCTTCTCACCTGGTGTGGGGCATCCCCACGGTGGCTGCAGGGAGAGGGAAGGTGTTGAGCTGGGGGGGGGGGGACCTGCCTGCACCCACTGCAGCAGCATCCCCCCCTCCATCCCCTCTGGAAGCACCTCCTTCCCCCCGCAGCATCCTTGCAGCATTCCCGCTCCCCACATCCTCCCCTGCATCCCCCCACATTCCCCTGCAGCGTCCTCGCTGTTTCCCTCTGCTCATCCCCGGAGCTCTCCTGGCTCCGAGTGACACCGTGTGGCCGTGACCATGCTCTGCCACTGCTTGGCGCTGCCGGTGGGGGAATCTCTGCGCAGAGAGGACGAAACAGGGCGATGGAAGCAGAGGGGGAGGATGGAATCAGTAACTTTCCAGGTTAATCCCGTACATTCCATTTAAAGGGCCTGGCACTGGCAGCAGGAGCAGCAAGCTGGGCTGCTCCTTGCTCAGGAATAGAGAAGCTTGGCTGTTGTGGGAACAGCGTATTCCTTGGGAATCACAGCAAGGGGAAATGGATTGCTTTGAAATATAAATATTTATATCTGTCTGTGTTATGTATATCAAATTTTATACTTGTGTATCTGTACTCAGATGCACAGGTAATTTTAATTGTCCCTTCTTGGGCTCCTGGTGAATCCAGCATTGTACCCTGGGTGTGATGGAAGAAAAGTTTAATGAGTCAGCAGAACTCCAGTGATCAGAGAATGGGCTCAGAGCCCTGGGGTCTCTTAGGCAGGACCCAGAGCTGCTGGCAGTGGGTTCCCGTGTCCCAGCAGGGCTCTGCAGAGTCTCTGACTGTGTTTGAAGATCTGTTTGCTGCACGTTTATCCCAGAACCCCTCACAGCACCCCAGTCTGAAGGAGGATGGGTGCTCCCCACCTGTCTGAGCGCCCTGTGAGCCGGTGACGGGGTGCTGAGTGTCCCCTCTGTCCCCCAGCCTGCATGATGAACGTGCACAAGCGCTGCGTGATGAACGTGCCCAGCCTGTGCGGGACGGACCACACGGAGCGCCGGGGGCGGATATACATCCGGGCAGACATCGACAAGGACGTGCTCACCGTCGTAGGTACGTGTGTGTGTGACAGCACCTTCCTCATAGGTACATGTGTGTGTGACAGCTCCCCTGTCGTAGGTATATGTGTGTGATAGCACCCCTGGCACCTGCCCTCTGGCCAAGCCTGCCTGGGCCTCCAGGTGTTCTATGGCAGTTACAGATTTTTCAAACTGCTGTAAAATTTCAGCCTCCACAGGACCCCAGGAAGGGGGAGCAGAGAGTTCCTCCCGTTAACTATCCGTGTGGAAGTGTGGTGTTTATACCCTGCTGTCTGTGTGATGGTGAACGTCACTTCCCTGCTGTTGGTGGTCCCTGGGCACATACAGGTCTCGGTGGGAATCTCAGAACAGCCCTCAAACCATCCCATCTTTAAGGACTTTTGCCACCCAGATTTCGAGTTCCCAAAAGGTCCTTCCCCCCTGACCTGGGAGCGTCCCCCCAAACATTAAGCCGTGTCCCTGTGAAGGCAGAGCTGTGGCTCTGGTGGGTGCTGGTGGTGGGTGTCTCATGGGGTGGGGGCTGAAGGCAGGGATTGCTCTCCACGGGCATGGCACTGCCAGTCCCTCTGGGGTTTGCCTGGCAGAGGCTGAGCTGGTGCTGGTGGGGAAGGAGGGCCCTGCCCACGCTGCTGACCGGTGCTGGTGGGGAGGGAGGGCCCTGCCCACGCTGCTGACCGGTGCTGGTGGGGAGGGAGGGTCCTGCCCACGCTGCTGACCGGTGCTGGTGGGGAGGGAGGGTCCTGCCCACGCTGCTGACCGGTGCTGGTGGGGAGGGAGGGCCCTGCCCACGCTGCTGACCGGCACCTCTGGGTGTTTGGGTCTCCACAGGGGCGGCCGAGCTGTCGCGGTTATTCCGGCTGAGTTAAAGCCGTGGGATGGATGGGAAGTGCCCCCTGCAGTGCCCCTGAGTGGGCACCGGGCTGGGACATCCATGGCAACACCGGATCCTTCTCCATCATCCCACTGGCTCCAGGTGGCTCCCAGGGAGATTCCTGCTTTCCCACACCCTGTCTCAGTGGGAGATGCTGTGACACCCCCGGGGTTGGGTTCTGTGGGGTGGGGTTGTCTCTGTGCATCCCGTGGTGCTTCTCGGCACTCTGATGGGCACTGAGTGCTGCCCAGGGGCTGCCCAGGTCCTGCTGCTCCAGGCTGGCTCCTCACTGCCATGGCCCAGCAGGGCTCCAGCCCCCCCACCCCACCCCTGCTCTGCTCAGGGAGGGGTGACCCCAGGCAGCCCCCCCGGGGGATGGGGGGCTGAGGGGAGTGCTGGTCCATGACGGGCACAGCCTCAGGAGGTGCCCCAGCGTGGGCAGGTGGTGGCACAGGTCACCTCACCCACAGGTAAGGACGCACTCAGGTGTGATCCAAGAGTGTGCAGGAGAGCCAGGATCCTTCTGGCCTGCAGGGCCATCAGGAGTGTTTTCAAGAAAAATACCAAGTTGCTGAAAAAGTTATTGAAAAATTTAAAAAAGTTGTGGAGGATTTTCTAATTTATTTTTTGTTTGATTTGTCCTTAAAGGAGAGTGTCAGTGAACCAAGCAGAACTATGTTTCTCAGAAGTCTTGCTTCCCAGGCTCCTTCCTTAAAGGTTGGACTTGGTGATCTTGGAGTTCTTTTCCAACCTTCGTGATTCTGTGGTTCCCCCTGGGAATGAGATGGGACTGGTATTCAGCCTCCATCGATGCCCATGGGGCACAGAGCTCACCCTCTGGCACCGTGGGTTCCCTGGCACTGTGTTCCTACCTCTCTGGAGGCAGGGGAGGAGCTCCCTTGGCCTCATTCTGTGCAGCTGGATTTTCATTTTTTCCACTGGGTTTGAAAGGCTGTTTTATTTCTGGCCCTTTATGGAGGTGTTGGTGAAAACATGTCAGCTGTTGGCTTTTCCAGAAGGCAGGGAAGCGTGCTGAGCTCTCCAGCTCTGCTGAGGAGCTGATGGAGCAGTGGGAGTGCTTTGGGAGAGGAGAGGCTGGACACTGGGGAGCCCAGCTGGCCCCCCCAGAGCACAGGTGGGCACCCAGCCCTTGGGAGATGGAGCCACCTCATCTTGTGGTGGGCACTGGTGAGGCCACCTCGAATCCTGGGGTCAGTTTTGGGCCTGTCACTACAAGAAGGATGTTGAGGGGCTGGAGGGTGTGCAGGGAAGGGAACGGAGCTGGGAAGGGGCTGGAGCAGCAGGAGGGGCTGAGGGAGCTGGGGGGGCTCAGCCTGGAGAAAAGGAGGCTCAGGGGGGACCTTCTGGCTCTGCAATCCCTGACAGGAGGGGGGAGCCTGGGAGAGTTGGGCTCTGCTCCCAGGGCACAAGGGACAGGAGGAGAGGGAACGGCCTCCAGCTGTGCCAGGGGAGGGGCAGGTTGGATATTGGGAAAATTCCTTTATGGAAAGGACTGTCCAGCCCTGGCACAGCTGCCCAGGGCAGGCAGGGGTGGAGTCCCCATCCCTGGAGGGGTTTAAAAGCCCAGTGAATGTGGCACTTGGGGACATGGGTTAGTGGTGGCCTTGCAGGGGGAACAGTTGGATTTAATGATTTTGGAGGGATTTTCCAGCCTAAACAATTCCTGCAGGATCTGCCTTGGCCATCCCAGGGGGGCAGAGTTGGAGAGTTGCCCCATGGGGCCCCAGCCCAGGGAGGCAGCAGGTGGAGGCAGCAGCCAGGATTCCTCTGAACAGATTTCTGGTGGAAAATGCCCTTTACACATTTTCTGCAGGAATTTCAGTTTGGGGCGGGCAGGGGGTGGATTTCTGTCGAGAACAGGAGTGACAGCGCAGTGATGGGCGGTGGGTGGGTGGGTGGTGGAGCCCCCTGAGCCTGGCAGGGGGGCTGAGCCCCCCTTGGTCCTGCTGCACAGGGAAGTACAGGTACTGGCAGTGGCAGCAGGGGGGGAGACCCTTGCCCAGGAATTTTGGGAGCTTTTCCATGGCAAAGAGGACCCCCAGCTGCTCAGTCTGAGAGGTGCCTGGGTGGCTGTGGGCAGGCAGGGCTGGCAGGAGCAGGCAGGGCAGGGCTGGCAGGAGCAGGCAGGGCAGGCAGGAGCAGGCAGGAGCAGGCAGGGCAGGGCTGGCAGGAGCTGGCAGGAGCAGGCAGGGCTGGCAGGAGCAGGCAGGGCTGGCAGGCAGGGCTGGTGCCTGCAGGTGGCAGCACGGGCACAGCCAACACGGACCCGCTCGGTGCTTTGGTTTCTTCATTGCCTGGCAAATGTAACAGGAATGTGCTGGATGCTGTTCAGCTCTGTGGGTTTCTTTTCTCTTACTCTGATTTTTTTTCCTTTATTTGTAAAGCTAATCTTTCCCTCCCAGTGGAAGACACAGATTTTCATAGAACTACTGAATCCTGGAATGGTTTGGGTTGGAAGGGACCCTAAAGCCCATTGAGTTCCACCCCCTCCCACGGGCAGGGACACCTTCCACCAGCCCAGGGTGCTCCAAGCCCCGTCCAGCCTGGCCTTGGACACTTCCAAGGATCCAGGGGCAGCCACAGCTTCTCTGGGCAACCTGTGCCAGGGCCTGCCCACCCTGGAAGAATTTCTTCCTAAATTCAGGATGTGGGCTGTGTGTCTCTGAACCCCCTGGGGCGGGAGGGAGAAGTGAAGTGGGGCAGGACATTGCCTGGCTGGCGTGGGACAAGAGCAAATGCATGTTCACGGTCCATGTTCTGCTCTGGGCTTTGATCAAGTGTCTTATTAGTGGGAAAAGACTGAGGAATAAAGTGGGAAATCACAGCAAATTAAAGTGTCATCAAGGCGTTGCGCATTTTTGCTTCTGTAATAGAAAAGCTTCCGAACGCAGATTATTCTGTCGTATTAAGGGACATGAATATTTGAGTCTGGGAAACGGAGGAGTGGGAGAATGTGAAGGCTGGGCTGGGAGTCCATTAAAGCTGTTGCTGCTCCAAGATGGAAGTTGCTTTGAGGACTCTGTGCGTGGCTCCTGTCCCGCAGGTGGGAGGTGTGTCCGTCCCCTCGTGTGTCGGTGCATCCATCACGTGTTTGTCTCTCCTCTCAGGGAAGGGATGGTGTGAACAAGAGATGACCTAAAAGACAGAGAGTCTGTGAGGGATTAAGAGGCAGAAAAGCTGTGCTGGGTTTATGCTGCAGGGCCAGGGTGTGTTTGGGTGATGGAGACTCCTCAGCGTGTCCAGGCCCCTTTGTCCATGAGCGTGTGAAGCAGAGTGTGCCCTGTCCTGGTGCCAGGGCTGCTGAGCCTGGGGGACCACCTTGGGTTCCCTCTTCTCTCTCTCTCGAGTCTTGGTAAGGTGCCACTGCCCCCCCTGGCTCCTGCAAAGCTGAGCCCCTCGTTGGCACCACGGTCCCAACCCCTGGTGCCCCTGCAGCGTGGCAGGGGCTGCTGGGACCAGAGCATCACTGTTTACTGAGCTGATTGAAGGAACACATTGACCACAACTGAAACCAATTATGCTGTGATTAGATAAACGAGCTGGAAGTGTGTTAATTAATAATCACCGGCCCAGGCAGATGCAGCCATAATGAGTCCTGTGCCTTTTTCATTGGATGAGCATGTGCAAATATATTCTTATCAGAGCATTAATTAAGTGTTTTAACTCACGAGGGTGTTCATCTGAGTGCTGGGCAGTGACTGGGATGGGGCTGCTCCTGGCTGGGGATGGGGTGTGCTGCTGGAGGGAGGAAGATGAGTGCTGCAGGCCAGCCCAAGAGCCTTTCCCTCTCCAAAATCCCATCCAAGACCTGTGGAACTGGGGGTGCTGCTGTCACAGCCACGGAGAAATGATGGGGCTGGGATGAGGTGGCAGAGCTCTGACCTCTCCTTGCAGTGAGCCAGGCTTTGGAAGGGTTTCCATAGAACCACAGAATCCTGGGATGGTTTGGTTCTTGTCCGAATCACTTGTTAGGAAGCTGTTGCAAATTTTGCAGAATAAGTTATTCAGGTATCACTGACCCAGCTGTGCCTGCCCTGGCCCTGCAAGGTGGAGCAGGTGACACCTCCTTCCCACGGCAGTGGGGTGGCGTCCCTATTGCCACGGGAATTGTGTGGAGGAGGTGGGCACTGCCACCACTGCCCCCCCCAAGCCTCCTAGTCCAGAGATGTCCAGGACTTATGGAAGCCTCATCCTGCCCATGGCCTGAGACCACAGTGGCGTCTCCTTGGCCGCACTTGGCACCCACGGTGATTTAAGTCCTGCTTTAAATGGGATCGTAATATTCTTACTCATCACTGCTAATAATGATGTTACTACTTCTTAATGATGCACAAAACTGTCAGGGTATGACAGATGTAAAACTATTTCACATCAAATTGAACTGTCAAATAAATTCCATAAACACTGGAGAGGAAGGAGCACAGCTCCCCTGCTGTGAGGTATCACTGCTGTGCTGCTTCACGTTTTTAGTTTGCCTTCACTTAATTGTTGATTTCTGCTTGAAAAGTTAGAAAGTTTCTTAAGGTCAAGCAGAAGCATTTTGTTTTTTTAAATGAATAGATAAAATTATTCCCATTAATGAAATTTTGAGGTCTGCACGCTGAGATAATAACATGAGGTAATCAAATCTCATGCTTCAGGGCATAAACTGATTAACTGTGAGGGTCAGGAATTACTTCTCCTGTTCCTTAAAGAAGCGAAGGACGGGCTGATAAACGATGGAGGGTTGTTCATTAGTCTCCAGAGGATGTTGTGTTGGCTGTTGGGATGGTGGAACACGGAGCAGAGTGGGAGCTCGTTCCGTGTGACATCATTTTGCATCTCCTGTCGGTGAGGGGACACTGGCTGCTGTGAGACCCCAGAGCCAGCGGCTCCTTCCAGCCCCTGGGCTGCTTCTGCTGCTCACACAGGAGCTCTGAAGGGTCCTCAGTGGTTTCTGCTGACCCCAGGGCAGGGCAGGGGTGATGGTCACCAGACTGTGCCCGCTGTCCTGCCATGGGCACTGGCGTCAGGGTGGGCACTGTGTGGTGCCTGGGGCCATAACATCCCAGTGTGAGTGGTCCTGTGAGTGGCAGTGGTTGTCCCCCCTTTCCCTGAGGCTCCTCCAGCTCTGAGTGCTGCAGGTGGGCAGGGGCACTGAAAACACATTTTTTATGATAATTTTGAGGCCTGGAAGGTGATAAAAAGCAGAAAGAGCTGAGGGGGAGGGCATGGAGAGGCCCTGGTTCAGCAGGGCACTGGGAGCATTGTTCCCTGTGCCTTGGCACTGTGGAGGGTGCAGGCAGGGAGTCCTGGGGTGGTGGTTTTAAACTGACAGAAGGCAGGGTTAGAATAGAAATTAGGAAGGAATTCTTCCCTGTGAGGGTGGGCAGGCCCTGGCACAGGTTGCCCAGAGAAGCTGTGGCTGCCCCATCCCTGGGAGTGTCCAAGGCCAGGTTGGATGGGGCTTGGAGCACCCTGGGCTGGTGGAAGGTGTCCCTGCCCAGGGCAGGGGGTGGCACTGGATGAGCTGTAAGGTCCCTCCCACCCCAAACTGTTCTGGGATCCAGTTATTCTAAGACAGCATCCCTGGTGAGGTCACTGTGTACCCCTGTCAGGGATGAAGTCATTCCTTCCCTCTCTGCCAGAGGGGCCAGAGGTGACTCTGGCTCCTGCAGCTGCCTCGTCCCAGGAGTCTGAGGAGCACGTGGAGCAGCAGGATGGATGGGGCTGCCTGGCTCCTGCAGTGGCAGGCCGTGCTTCCCAGCAGGCTCACGCCTCTCCCTGTCTCACGAGCTGCTGTCAGGGCTGTCACGTTTGATAAATGAGCTCGTTTATAAATGCAGATTTGCGTTTTGGCTCCAAGTTTGATTCCATGGATCTGGAAATCGGGCAGTGCTTTGGCAGGACAGCATCAGATGGCAGATTTTGGGGCGTTAATTTGCTCTTCAACTCTCTGGTTCCCAACCTCATCAGAAGTGCCTTACTGGTGAGTTGGGAAGTGGGCAATTGTTTTTACTCTTCTGACTCTCGCAGCATCTTCTGCTGTCCTGTGGTGCCACACACAGAGTCCTCTGCTCCTCCTTCTTGGGATTACAGGGTGGAGCTGTGCCTTCCCAGTGGAGCTGCTGGTGGGATCTGGTGGGATTTCAGGCAGCACTGGGTTCCTGTTCCCAACATGGCACAACCCTCCATGCCTGATCCCTGGGGTGTGCACTGGGCCTGGGGGATGGGGGGCTCTGCTCTGGGCTTCCTTGAAACAGCTTTTCCACAGGTTACAGCTCAGCTCCATCAGGCTTTCCATCTCTGATATCTCCATTCTGGCTGGAGGGAAGATAAGACCCTTCTCCTGGCAGACAGACCCTCTTTGACTTAATCTGGGCAAAGAGCCTCAGCTCAGCCTGGTTGTATTTAATTTGCCCAAGCTGCAATCCAATTACAAGCAACCGAGTCATCTCAGGTTGGCTCTTCCCTCTCTGCTCCTGCTTCCCAAAGGAGACACTTCAGCTCCCAGAGCCAGGGGGATGCTGCCCTGTGGGCAAGTGATGCTGCCCTGTGGGCATCCCCCTGCTCCCTCAGGGCCACAGCAGCTGAGCCAGAGGGGGCCCAGTGGGGAGGTTGGTGCTGGATGTGGCCACTGTGCCTTTGGGTCCCTGCCCTCACCTCTCCAAAGATAATATTGCTCTTTCCACTCTCCAAGGGCAGCTCCATCCCCACGCTCCCACCAAACCATTGCAATGCTGCATCCCAAGGGGCAAGAGGAAACAAACTGGCTTGAAATTCCTTAGAACGGAGAGCAAACAAAAAAATCACCCAACCAGAAAGTAAAAATAATCTCCTGAGTCGACCCCTCAGCCTCCCCCGTCCACGAGAGCTGCGTTTGCTCTGCGTTAGTTGTGTTGTTCCTCGTGCAGTGCCCATGTCTGCACAGAGCCAGTTTAATTCTGGTTTTAATCACTATTTTCACACTTACTCTTGGCACGCAGGGAAGTTGTCAGTTGTCGGGTATTTTTATAGTTGGAATACTGAATTTAATCCTTTTTCTCTTCCCCAGTAAGAGATGCTAAAAACCTAGTTCCTATGGACCCTAATGGCTTGTCAGATCCCTACGTGAAGCTTAAACTAATCCCTGACCCCAAAAACGAAAGCAAACAGAAGACCAAAACTATCAAGTGCTCCCTGAATCCTGAGTGGAACGAGACATTTAAATTGTGAGTACAAGGAAAATGTTTAAATTTCTAAACTGAGTTTTCTCACCCCCGAGAATTAATGTGATTGTATTTGCTCTGATTTAATTATTCAGAGGCACTGAACTGATTTGACTGAGAAGTGATTCTTTTCATTCAGTGAGTGACTCAGAAACACTCAGACCTCTGCCCTGACCCCGATCAAAGCTGAGTGTTGGGGCAGGAACTCTGAGCTCTCCGTGTGAGTCGGATGTGGTTGGGCAATTAAACATTGGAGACCTCAACAGGCACCGGGGACCATCCCTTCACTTTGCATCTGTATTCCTGCAGAGCGTGGGGGGACAGGGTGGTGTGGGAGCACCTTCCAGCATCAAACCATCCCCTCTGCTCTCTTCCAGCCAACTGAAAGAGGCGGACAAAGACCGGCGGTTGTCTGTGGAGATCTGGGACTGGGATCTGACCAGCAGGAACGACTTCATGGGCTCCTTGTCCTTTGGGATCTCTGAGCTGCAGAAGTCAGGAGTGGATGGATGGTAAGATGTAATTGTTTCACAAATACCACGGGCAGGAAGCAGCCTGGATGGTGTGTAGGGGTGAGGGATGTGGCAGCCCCTCGTGCCAGCCTTCTCCTGCTCCAGGCCCTCCTGTCCTGGCTCTGTGTAAGGTGCTGCTCCACCTCTCGGGCTGGAGAGGGTGGCTGGTGCTCTGGTGTCCATGGGGTGCCCAGAGGAGTCCCTTCTGTGTGTCCTCCTGCTCCTTGCAGGGTTGTTCAGGGGGTTTGTGGGGCTTTTCCCTCTCACAGCCCCAGGGTTGCTCTGCCTGAGGGGCTGGTGCTCCCAGGGGCTCTCACTGCGTGGGCTTTGGGAGGAGCCAGCATCACCTGCCATCATCCGCCAAGGAAGCATTTTCCAGCCCTTTCTGCTTGGATTCCCTCAGTTTCTGTCCCAGGGAGGCTCTGTGGCTTCCTGAGGCACGTGGGAGAGCAGGGCTGTGAGGGGGTGGTGCTGGGGACACCTTGGAGCTGTGGTTCCTGCCTGGGGCACGTGGGCTGCAGTGCCTGTGCGGGGGGCACAGCTCAGTGCAAGGAGGAACCACCAGAGTGTGTAATTACCAACGCTCGTTACCACACGAGTGATGAACACAGCAGGGCTGTAACACCCCTGAATGGCTCTCTCCATTTTCATTTTCTCTCCCCCAGCAGGACACACAGTGCCTTATTTCCCTGTTTTTCCCCGGGCACCGGTGCCTGAGAGCTGTGTTACCTGTCCATGGCGAGTGTCATCATTGAAAAGTGATATTAGATGTCTTTTGCATGTTATTAATCTGCATTCACAAGCTGAGTGAATGCCCCAGACTGCATTTTCCCACCATAGAAGCTGGATGTGTCTCCCTTTGAGCAGAGAACGGAGAGGAGGAGGAATTGGGCAGTGTGTGTACCCAGAGAGAGCTGGGAAATGCATGAGGGGATTGGAGGGGGCACCCCCTGCCCCCCACCCTGACACATCCAGGGCAGAGCTGGGGGTGCTCCTGTCCCTGTCCATCCCCTTCCTGCCCCCCAGGAGGTGGGCAGCACCTGGTCCAGCACAGTGACACGTGCCAGGGTTTCAGCCTCCTCATCACCAACCAGACCCTGATGGGGACGTGGCTCCTCTTCTGGAAAACAGCAGGGAGCTGTCACTTCTCCCCGAATTCCCAGTCACCTGTAAGGGTGCATGTGTGTCATGTGCTGCTGGCTTCTGACGCAGCCCAAAGCCTGAGCGTTTTCCAGCTTTTAAAAATCATGTAAGTGGAGATCTAAGTAATTTTCCTTGTCACGGCGCTGGTTGAAGTAAACTGGAGAAGGAGCACGAGCTCTGATCTATATTTCATATCTAAACAACTGCAGTTAATGGAGAAAACAAGCCCAAAGGCAGAGCCTGGCCCTGTGTTGTGCAGACAGGGCTTTGTTGCTCGGAGCAGCCTCTGGGATAACACCCAGCTGAGAACCCTCCTGGCTGCAGAGCCTCTGCTGCCAGAGCTGGGCTTCTCCCCTCGTGGGGTGAAATGAAATGCCTCGGAGCTGAGTGGCATTTCCATGATTTCTGCTAATTGCTGCTTAAGCCTTTTTCCTTCTTTAGAGGAGCATCTTGTCTGTGCCCTCAGGGTTGGCAGCACCAGCCTGGCACTGGCACATTCCACGTGCTGTCCTTGGGGGGCAGCTGATGGAGGGGGGGTTTGCCCTCACCTGTGCCTGGGACCATCACCAGAAAGACCTGCTTTTGTCTGTGGGTTGTGGGGTCAGGATTTGTTTGGGAGTGATGTCAGTGCTCTGTGTGCCCACCTCAGCAGGCAGTGGATGTGCTCCCTGGGCTGGGGGGGTCCCCAGTACAGCGAGGGACCCAAAACATCCCTCCACCTGGGTGAGAGGGGAATGGTTTGGGGGTACTTCTGACCTTGGGGAAGGTTCACCTGGATGCCATGCTCAGAGCACAGGTGAGGTCCTGCCTGTGGTCCTGCCCACCTGCCATCCTGACCCAACATTCTCACTGTATCTCCAGGTTTAAGCTGCTGAGCCAGGAGGAGGGGGAGTATTTCAACGTCCCAGTGCCTCCCGAGGGAGAAGAAGGAAACGAGGAACTGAGGCAGAAATTTGAGGTGAATTGGTTTTTCTTGGACTCTGGGGTTTTCCTTGCTGCCTGCCTGCAGTGCCCTGGGTGAGGGGCTTTCCCTGCCAGCTCTTTCCCTGGCAGTTCAGGGAACGTGGAGTAGGGTCCAACTCCCCACAGAGGCTCCAAGGAGAAATGTCTATTTACTACTTAATAAGCCATGGAGGATCTTGCTGAATGATTGATCCAGACATTGCTGAATTAACAGGTCTGTGCCATTTCTCAGTGTAGCTAAAGTCTCCCCAGAACCCTGGGAATGAGCATGGTACATCTGGAGACTTACATGCAATGAGCCATACATAAAAGAATTGCCCTTATGGTTGTCAGCGTGAACTCCATAATTCTGGCAAAGACTTGAGTTCTCCTTTCTTTTTTTATCTTATTTATGTACAACTTCCCTGAATATACAAGAGAAGACAGTTCTAATACAACAGTTAGCTGCAGCCAATGGTTGTTGGCTCTGTAAAGAACTAACAACTGTCTTCTGCTGCATTTCATGATGTTCCAGTGGTGTTAAAATGGTGTGTTGGAAGTCAGAGGGTGAGTTTTCTACAGGTCAGAAAACACCCAGTCCAGAGGTGCCAGAGTACACCTGTGCCCTCACCTTGCTGTGTCTGCCCTCCTCCCTTGTGGGGAAGTCAGTGTTCCAGGCAGGGGATCCCCTTCCAGCTGGGCCGTGGCTGGTGCTCGTGCTGGGAGGGAGGAGTGGAGCGTGCTGGAGCCCGGCTGGGAGGGCACAGTGCCAGCCCGGGTGACACAGAGCTGCCTGGAAGCTTGTGGAGCTGCTGCCAGAGCCATGCCCCTCTCCACAGCCCGAGCAAGGTGCTGCTGTGCCTCCTGCAGCCGTGCCACGTCCCAGCAGGCGGGAGAGGAGCCTGGCATGGAGCCTGTGCCACGTCCTGGCACCCCAGCCCTGCCCGCTCCGCTCGCTGGGACAGCTGCAGAGATGGCCATGGCAGCTGCCCTTGCATAAATTCAGGTGTGGTAAATTAGCTGTGACAAATGGAGTTGGATAACGAAGGTCAAGCAGTTTTTTTAGAAAAAATCAGCGAGCAATACTCGGCACGCTTCGGTTGTAAACCTCAGAGAGGTCTGGAGATTGTGGAGGTGTTAGGAGTGCATTAAAAACAGGTTACAGGACTTTGGTGTTCACTGAGGGACCTTAGAGATGCTTGACAGCAGAAGCAAGACCCTTCCCTTTGGGGGTGCTGGTTGTTACGTTGCCCCAGCTCTTATTTTGGGCTCTTTTTTGGGAAATTCACCCTCTTGGCTAAGCCACACGCTGAGCCTGCTCTATCAGGGAAGCCTCATTGTGTTTGTATCCTCATCTGGTCTTCCTGAACATACTGTGGTGCTGCATGTCAGGTCAAGTGCTGCACTGGCTGGGGTTGAATTGGCCCCTCTTCAGACACAGCCCCAGGAGGGACCCCCAGACACCCCCAGGCCTGGGTGCCGGGTGCTCAGCCGGTGTCACTGGTGCTGTGCCTGAGGCTGGATGGTTTGCTGGGATGGACCAAATGAAAACCCTCTTTCCCCTTCTTTAATCATTCTCTCTGGATGATCTTTGAGGCCCCTCCAACCCAAATCATTCTGTGATTTGGTTGGGTTCAGTGAGACACGATTGGCTGTGTCAGAGCTGCTGTTGGTCACCTGAGCTGTTTGGTCGCCATTTGTCTGGGTATCCCTGTCTTTTGGGGACACTGGAAAAGCCTAAAGGTGACTCTGAGGAAACTCCCTGTGCTTTGGGAGACATGACTTTATTTCCTCTTCGCTGTGTGAATGTTTTCCTGTTGGGAAGCAGACAGGATGTGTGTGGCTCCACTGACAGCAGCAGGTCCCATCCTTGGGGTCCCATCCTTGGGTCCCATCCTTGGGTCCCATCCTTGGGGCCCATCCTCTTCCCAGGGCAGAGCTGTGCCCACACCAGTGCTGTTTGGAACTGCCACACACCATTCCTTTGCTTTTCAGGGCAGGAGCTTCTCAGATGCTCGTAGGTGCTGCAGGTGACCTTGAGTGGGGAATTCAGCAGCAGGGAGAACCTTGTGAGAACCAATTAGCAGCAGCAAAGGCTTGAGATTACCCGAGAGGTGCTATCTGGAGGGGCTGCCAGCAGCAGCCAAATTGAACCGCCGGGATCGGGTTAATGGAATTTCATGCTAGGCTGAGCTCGGCACAGGCCTCACACTGCCACCGAGTTCTGTAAATTAAAAGGGAATAAATGGGGAGATAGCTTTTTCAAGCAGTGGTTCAGCACAGCAGACAGCCCCTGGCCTGGGGAGGAGGTGCCAGGACACTGGTGGGGTTTGGTGTTTAAAAAGGGGGGGTTGTGGGGGTCCTCAGTGAGCAGCTGTGATTGTGAGGGGGTTTTTGGGGGTGCAAGAGGGGGGCTGTCTGTTCTCTGCTCTTCCAAATAGATTTGGGACTTCCTGTGTTCAACCTGAAGTGGCACAGGAGTGCGATTCTCTTCAACATCAGATATAACCATGGAATATCTCAGGTTGGAAGGGACCCATAAGGGGAGTAATGGAGGTGGAGCTGGAGAAAAAGTCTTGTGTTTTGCCTTAATATATTTATATCCACCATTTATATATGGGTTCAGTCCCTGTATGGGCCATTCACTGAAGAGCTGAACTCGATCCTTGTGGATCCCTTCCGACTCAGAATCTTCTGTGAGATACTCACCCGTCCTTTTCTGGTGAGGTGAGAGACAGAAGCTTGTTTTGAGGACAAAAGCTTCTTTAAACTTCTGTTCTGTGCTTTGGATGACCTGGAGCATGGGGCAGGGTAGCATGGCAGGCTACCTGCTGGCATGGGGAGAGGGGGGACGATGGGCAGAGGTGGTTCCCAGTTGCTCTGGCAGGGGTTGACTGGGAAGCAGTTGATCTGTGCCGTGTGCCAGGGCTGGTAACTCCTACAATGCCCTTCTTGGTGCTGTCCCCGTCAGGCTGATGGAAAAGGTTCCCAAAGCTCAGGGTGGTGCTTGAGCCGGGAAAGAGCTGATTAAGGTGGGATTTTGGGAGCATCCACTGGGTTTATAATACCCTTTCTCCCTGCTGTTTTCAGCACTGTTTTTTCTTTTCTCCCTGTGCCACGTCCACCTTTGCAGAGAGCCAAGATCGGAACTGGGTCCAAGGCTGCGGATGAGAAGACAAGAAATGCCATTTCCAAATTTGACAACAATGGGAGCAGAGATCGGATGAAGCTTTCAGACTTCAACTTCCTGATGGTGCTGGGAAAAGGAAGCTTTGGGAAGGTGAGGAACCCCATCCTTCTTGACACTGTCTGTGTTTAACATGAGTTCCTTGTGGCTGCTGCAGTGTGAGCTGTCCTTGTTCTGACTGGGAGCACTGGTGTCACGGTGCTGAGAGCCCAGCTTGGCTCCCTCTGGATCACAGCAGGGGACACCTGAGGTGTCTGATGAGACCATCACTAAAACCATCTGCCCCCCTTTGGGAAGTGGGGGGCTGAGCTGTGTCTTTAAAGCTTTTTTTGTTGTTGTTTGGCCTTTTTTTTCTTAATAATTACAAATATATAGGAACATTTTAATTCACTTCCCAGACTGGGTATGAGCGGTAACAGAATTTCATTCTTCTGATAATTATGTGATTCAGAGCCTTTTTCTTGGGGTCTTTCCAACTCTCTCTTGATTTCCATTTGGGATCCTAGTGCTCCAGGGGCTGCTGGGGCTCCATGGGAGGTGGGTGGCTCTCACTGGATGCTGGCCTGGTGTCTGCTGGTGTGATGACTGGCCCAAAACCACTCTCATTAGTGAATTCCCCCTTAATTGCAGGGAATACTGCTCTGGCAACAGGCTCATTCCTTGGGCAGGTAGTGAAGATGAGGAGGGTGTGCAGGGGAGTGATGATCCCTCATCACCTGAGCACAGGGATGCAGCAGGGACATGCCTTCCCTCCCCGAGCCTTCTCCTGATGGTCATGGAGCTTGGGGAGGTCCCTGTCTCTCTTCTGGTGTTTGCTCCCCCTCTGGAGATGGAGAGCTCAGAGGTCCATGGAAATACCTGTGACAGGTGGAAAACAGGGAGGTCCTGATGGTCCCCAGCACCCAGAGCATCAGCCCAGCACCCACTGTCACTCCTCTGTGCTGTGGGTTGGCATCCTGGGGAGCCCAGAGATATATCCGTGTCCCCTTTCCCTCCCTCCCAACACCTCATCCCTTTTAAGCTCAGTGCTGGCATCTGGAGACTGGAGCTGTGCGTCGTGTGGCCCCCCCGCCCCCTTCCCTTAAATTTGAGGAGCATTAGCAAACTCCTCGGTCGGCTCCATGGCTTATGTAAGGGAATGTGTGACAGCAACTGTTCCCTGGAACAGCATGTTATAAATATGCTAATTAGGGCTAATTAAAACAGCACCATTGCTTTCTCGGGCTCACTCTCACGTGTGCCTGGCGCTTCCCCACGGTGGGCATCCCCCCTGCCCCACCATCCGCTGGGGACACCGGGCTGGCACAGCACAGGGGCATTGGTACCTCGTGTCAGGGATGAAGTGAGTGCTGCTGTCTGCAGGGCAGGGGCAGGGGGGCCCAGAGAGGGCAGGGGAGCTCAGAGTGGGCAGGGGAGCCCAGAGTGGGCAGGGGGGCTCAGAGAGGGCAGGGGGGTTCAGAGAGGGCAGGGGATCCCAGAGAGGGCAGGGGATCCCAGAGAGGGCAAGGGAGCCCAGAGCGGGCAGGGGCAGGGGGGCCCAGAGCAGGCAGGGGATCCCAGAGAGGGCAGGGGATCCCAGAGAGGGCAGGGGATCCCAGAGAGGGCAGGGGAGCCCAGAGAGGGCAGGGGAGCCCAGAGAGGGCAGGGGAGCCCAGAGAGGGCAGGGGAGCCCAGAGAGGGCAGGGGAGCCCAGAGAGAGCAGGGGATCCCAGAGCAGGCAGGGGATCCCAGAGAGAGCAGGGGATCCCAGAGCAGCCCAGGTCCCTGGCTGAGCTCCCTGCAGGCCCCCAGCCCAGGCTGTGTGCTCATGGCATCACCGTCCTTCTCCAGGGCTGGCACTGTTGTGTCCTTCCCTCTCTGGGGCTGGCACTGCCTGCTGCTGTGCTGGCTGCCTGCTGCCAGCCTCCCTCCTCCCAGTCCCTGCTGGCTGTGAGAGCTCTTGGACTGCAATCGCTCTATTTTAGTGAGTCTCTGTCTCTCTCTGTTAACTCTTTGGCATCAGGATCTCACATTCACTGCTCAGTATTTTCCTCTCTCCACGCTCTGGCTGTCCAGGTCAGGAGTACCAATATTGGCCCCAGTGGAGTTCAACAAACTTGCTTTCTCTATGTTCAGAATATCTCCAGTTTTTGTGGTGAGGCATTCCCAAACAAGTACTCTATATTACAGGAATAAATCAAATTAAATATCAGCTTTCTTCTGCACCAAAAAAAAAAAAAAAAAAATTAGAAAATAATGCAATCTGCTTCCCAGTGAGTGTGCAGATGGAGGTCCCCTGAGCCAGGCAGCAGAGTTTAGGGGGTGGACAATGGATCTGGTTTGGAAAATAGGGGCTTGGGTGTGCATGATCCTGGCTTGGTGCATTCAGCCCCAGGACTGCAGCCCTGTTTGCTCCTGGGTGCTCTGGGCTCTGCTTGGGCTCCCCTGATTGTGAGTCCCACCAAGCCCCCAGGACTGTGGCTGGTGGCATCACTCCCTGGGCTGGCACGGGCAGGGACACCTTCCCATGGAGGGAGGCAGCACTTGGCACAGCCCACCCTGGGTTTGCTTTGCTGTAATATAAATAGAGGAAAATGAAATTAGGTGGCTTGCTCGTATTTTTGCAGCTAATCAGTCTGTTCATGCTCTCGAGCTGTCAGGCTTTTGGGGGGTTTTGTGGTGTGGGGTTTGCAGGATGGAGCCTTTGGCCACTGCAGTTCTGGATTCCAGTGCAATGGAAGACAGTTTTCATGTGCTGTGATAATCCTCAAGCTGTGCAATGCTCTCCTCTCTGTGTGAAACGTGGCAGGAGGGCAGGGACCCAGTCTCTGACAGCTGGGCATGGGTGAGGTGGGGTACCTGCTCCCTCTGTCACCAACCACCCCCTGTGCATGGGCTGGTCAGGGCATCACCAGCTGTGCTGGGACATTGGCCTGTTTGCACCTCTTGGTATTTGAACACCTCCAGACATCAGGAAGATGTCAGAATTTCTTTATGGAAAGGGCTGTCAGGCATGGGAAGGGGCTGCCCAGGGAGGTGTCCCCGTCCCTGGAGGTGTTCAAGGAACAACTGGACGTGGCACTCAGTGCTCTGGGCTGGGGGACAAGGCGAGGATCAGTCATAAATTGGACTTGATGGTCTTGGAGGTCTTTTCCAACCTTAATGATCCTGTGATTGTTTAATGCAGGAGAGGGGAATACAGCCCAGATGTGACTGAGGGTGGTTTCCACCACCCCTGCCCTCCCCAGCACACACCTCCCTCCCGGCCGCTCCCTCCTGTGTGTCACCCTGCTGAGTCTCAGCAGCTTGGAAGGTCCTTCTGCCTTTCCCATCTCAGCTCTGCTCGGGGTTGCTGTGTCATTGGGAAGCAGCTTCATGAAGCATTCACAGCCCATGGATGCCCTGCAGCAGTTTTTGCATTTATGGTGGTACCTACCCAGCCTCTGCCTCACTTCAGAGGGGGGTGGGAGCCACGTCCCCCGTGAGGTCCCTTCAGGGCAGCAGCAGATGCCAGGCTCAGAGGCTCCCTGGTTTAGTTAATTTTCCTCTGAAGGGGTTACAGATAGCAGGGCAGGTCTGTATATAACTAATATTGTATATAATGCCCTTACTCCCAGGTAACAGGGTTAATTTTCCCACAAACTGTATTCTTGGAGCAGTTGCTTCTTCTTTTCCACCAACTCTGAACAGCAAAACCTGTCTGCTTTTATCACTTAGAAATCAGCCCTGGTTTTAGCACCTGTGTACAGCACCTTGTAAAGCTCAACTTGTGTAAAAATGGTGATAAATGGAGGCAATGAACTGAAACAGTTCAATTTGGGCAGAATCAGAAGGGAGGGCAGGGGTGCAGACTCCACGTGAGGCAGCTGTGTCTGCTGCCCTGGCAGAGAAACATGTAATGGTTTGGGTTGGAAGGGACCTTGAAGATCATCCAGTCCCACCCCCTGCCACGGGCAGGGACATCTTCCACTATCCCAGGTTGCTCCAAGCCCCGTCCAACCAGGCCTTGGACACTCCCAGGGATGGGGCAGCCACAGCTTCTCTGGGCAACCTGTGCCAGGGCCTGCCCACCCTCCCAGGGAGGAATTTCTTCCCAATATCCCATCTAACCCTGCCCTCTGGCAGTGGGAAGCTGTTTCCCCTTGTGCTGTGGTTCCTGTTCCGTGGCTGCAGGCAGGGTGTCCGTCTGTCCGTGCCCGTGTGTGGTGCAAAGGGCTGTTGCAAACATCTCAGAGAACTGGTAGAAGGCAAAGCTGAAGCGCAGAGCTGGTCCCAGTGCCTGTGCCTCGCTGGGTTCCATCCCAGCAGCACAAGGAGCTGCTCTGGGTTCACAGTGTTTTTCAAGCTCCAGTGAGTGAATCAATCCTTGCTGAGGTCCCTGCCACGCTGCCAGCCAGCCCACGGTTCCGCCCTGCGAGGGATGAGTCGGCGTGCGTGGCCCCGCTGGGGGAAATGGAACTGTCAGCGCCTTCTCCAGAGCTCTTGGCTCTGAGGAGCCCCAGTGCCATTCCCAGCTAATCCTGACAAGCAGCGTGTCAAGGACGGCCAAGCTCCCCAGGGCCGCAGCCAAGCGCCAGGATGAGCCAGAGCCGCGTGCTGGGAAGGGGCTGTTCCCTCTCCCACGGGTTCTTTCACTCAAACTCCTGGGTGGGAATGAAGACCTTGCTCCTCGGGCTGGGCCCCTGCCTCGTCATCCCTGCTCCTTGGGCTCTGTCATGGAATGGAATCACAGAATCACTGAGGTTGGAAAAGCCTTCTGAAATTGAGTCCAACCTTTCCCCCAGCACTGCCAAGGCCACCACTAACCCCTGTCCCCAAGTGCCACATCCACAGTCTGTTAAATCCCTCCAGGGATGGGACTCCACCCCTGCCCCGGGCAGCTCTGACAGGGCTGAAACACAAGAGGCTTAATCCAGCTGTCCTTAGAGTCTCAAAAGTCATCCTGAGAGCCACTCGTGTGTCTTCTGCCAGTCTGCCCCAGCCTGAAGTGCATTTCAGTTCCACCCTATTGATGTTGACTTCACCTAATTTATTTCCAAAACCCCCGAGCTGCTGTTCCCAATGTGACTGGAGGATTTCTGCCGACTCCTTCAAATGAAAAGCAATTCATTTCCACCCAGCGCTCCAATCTAATGTGATGAGAGAGTGTGAGAGGGAAAATGGGAGGCAAAGTGTGGTTTCAGAGTTGGTTTGTGTTGCTGGCAGCACAAGGAGCAGCTTAGGCTGATGGAGCGTGGTGGGTCGGGATGGGGACCCTCGCTGGGCTGATGGGATTAACCCAGGGGATTTGCACCATCAGAAGCAGCGAATCCCATTTATTGCAATAAATAAACCTGTAAATGGGTGAGACTGGTTTGAAATGAGAGGGATTGGAGGGATTCTTCTGGCTGAGAGGGGCTTTGGCTGGGGGATGGACCTGCACACAGTGGGGTTTGGTGTCACTGTTGGGGGGCAGGGTGAGGCAGAGAAAATGGTGTATTTTTTGCCTTCCTATTCACTATAGACTGACTCTTTTCCACTTTAAATTTTTACCACTTTATAATTTGATGAGTTCTGTGTTCAGGCTCTTAGCACCCTCCCCAGTGCTGGTGCCACTCCGAGGGGGCTGAACTGGGCCCTACTCAGGGGTGAGGGGTGCTGAGGGTGAGCTGGGCTCAGACATCAGCAAACCCTTGGGCTGAGCTCCTCCAGGCAGTGAGGTGGGGAGGGAGTAGACTTGTTACTCATTAGACTGGGTGTCCCTAAATGCTTCTGGCAATACCCTATAGCTTTCTGCATCGTTTGGCACCTGGAGCTCTTCTCAGGGTTGTAACAGGAGCCACAGGAGAATAAGCAAGCCCCTGGTTTAACTATAAGCAAGCCATTGGTTTAACTGTTTAAGGTCAAGGCATTTAAGATCCACATTTCCCTTGATCCTGCACTTATCCTCCCCCTGTGTAGGTGATGCTGGCGGAGAGGAAGGGCACAGACGAGCTCTATGCTGTGAAGATCCTGAAGAAGGACGTTGTGATCCAGGATGATGATGTGGAGTGCACGATGGTGGAAAAACGTGTCCTGGCTCTCTCTGGGAAACCTCCATTCCTGACCCAGCTCCACTCCTGCTTCCAGACGATGGTAGGTGCTGCTGCTACAGCTTGTCCCTGGGCAAGGGGCAGGAGGGACTGTGGACCCTGAGCCCTGGGAGCATGACCCTTGGCAAATGGATTGCAAAAGTGTCCAAGGCTGGGCTGGACAGGGCTTGGAGCAACCTGGTCCAGTGGAAGGTGTCCCTGCCCATGGCAGAGGTAGAACTGGAAGACCTTTAAGGTTCCTTACAACCCAGACCATTCTGGGATTCCCTGATTCTCTGTACATCGCTGCTCTTGCCAAAGCAGCCCTGTATTCTCTGCCTTGGCAACCTCACAGCTTGTCCAGCTCTCTGGCAAAAGTGTCTCCATGACAAAATGTGGGTGTGTGGAATGAGAGTGAATGTACAGTAGCTGCACTCCCCTGAGGTGTTTTCATCAGGGAGCTGTTCATGGTGTTAGCAGTGATTTCCCAGCCCCTCAGGTACCCCCAGCCCGCAACGGCCCTTGTGATTCGATTGCAAAGTGCTGCAATTTTTCCCAGGACTCGTCCCTGTGATCCAAACCCAGAGTAAAGGGACAAACCTGATCCAAGCCACAGGAAATCCAGTTTGCAGTGGGCATGTGATTGGGTTTGTATGAGTCAGGAGTGGAGAGGGGGACAGGGGACCTTTAGCACAATCCCTGCCCAGCCCTCGAGCAGCCTGTGAATGAGAATGTCCAGGTACGTGCCAGCGGGAGCCGGGAGAGGGAATCAGCAGAGTCCTTTAGAACGATGACAATGCTTTCCAGGAGGATTACATTTTAACATTCTTCCAGAAATTTCATTTACCGAACACATTGAGTGTGTTTAAAGCCCGCGGCCTGGCTTTGCAGCACAGTAATCAGGATGTGGCAGGAGCAGCTATTTCACACAGCATCTCCCTGGCATCTGAAGTGAGTCAGCGCGGGATTATTCCTGGCAGACCTATAGTAGCTTAATAGTAATCGTATTTGTAATGTAATCAAAATGTATAGCAGGGTGTATTATCAAAGGCTGGCACAAAGCACTTTGATTTCTGGGAGCACAGTCCAGAGCACAATTCTCAGCCGAGGCTGTTGGCTCAGCGGCTTCGGGAGAGACACGAGCCCTAAATCTGTGTTTTAAAGAAAGACTGAAGATGAGCAATGAGAGAGAGAGAGAGAGAGAGCTCCTGCCTGGGGCTGAAGGGCAAGAGGTGCCTGTGCTGGCGTGTCCTGGGGTGCTCTGCCTTGAAAGATCCCAGTCAGATCCTGGAGGGGTGTGAGCCAGGGCTCTCTGGGTGTCCCCAGGTGAGCTCTGCCTTCACTGGTCACCTTGATTCCCTCTGGGGCACAGCAGCTGCAGCAACATTGAGATGATAAATCACCAAAGCACAGAATCCTGGAATTGTTTAGGTTGGAAGGGACCTCAAAAATCACTTATTTCCACCCCCTGCCATGGACGGGGCCCCTGTCCAACCCGGTCTTGAACACCTCCAGGGATGGGGCAGTGACAGCTTCTCTGGGCAACCTGTGCCAGGGCCTGCCCACCCTCCCAGGGAAGGATTTCTGCCTAGTGTCTAACAAGGGGTGGATGGGGAGGGTGGGTGCTGTCCTGGCACTGCAGCTTGTTCCCAGCATGGAGTCGGGCAGGGGATGGACTAAACGAGTGGTTAATTAGGAGAAGGGCACTGGAAGGAGCCTGGGAGCTGCATCTTGTCTGCCCAGCGCAGGGGGGTGTCACCAGCTCCAGGCCAGGCTCTGCAGTGGGATTTGCCTCTCCAAACCATGCTGTTGCTCAGTGAGTTTGGATGCTCCAGACTTGGACAGACTCCGTCCTTTCTGCCTCCGACAGGAGCCAGGACAGCGTTCCGTGCCCATCCATCCCTCCCTCCCAGCCCGTGGGCTGCCCAGCCATCTGCCTGCTTTGCTCATGGCATTTTTCTCTGAAGCACCAGCGTTCCCTTCCCCACCCAAATGAGGAAAGCTCAGCTCCTGCTTTTAGAGCTCAGCTGGCTGTTTCAAGAGACCGTCCTTTTAATATTCTTCCTTCTTGAAGCTGATCGATATATTTAGGAAGCAGCTGCAGCCGAGCACAGCATTGCCTTGCTCTCCCGTGGCTGTCACAGCCTGGCTGCCGTGGCAGTGGCTGCTCAAGGTGACATTGCCTGCACGTGCCTCCCCGCTGGGCTGGCCAGAGCCTGGCAGGGGCAGTCCTTTACGGACGGGGTGCTCCGAAATCCCCACACTGAATTTGCCCTTCTGTCCCACCAGTGTCAGGTGTTTTACACAGCCCAGTTGCCCCTTTGGTGCTCTATTTAATTCCCTTTGGGGCTGCCCTGCTGTCTGGGTGGGCTGTGCCAGGGGGCAGGAGCCAATGACTCCAGTTCCCCTGGCTGGGCATCAGCAGGCTCGATGTGCCCCGTGGAGTGCTGGAGCTGATGACCCCAGTTCCACCATAGCCCTTGTTATGGCAGTGCTCCATCTGCATCTCTTCTCATCTCCTTGTCCTTCCTGTCTGAAAAGCAGGGCAAGGCTTATTTAAGGAGGAAATGAGGAAATATTCTGAACTATTATGTAAAGCTGCCAACCTGCAGCTCTCACAGCTCTCCAGCCTCTGTGTCCTTCCTTCTGTGAGCTGGGATGGGGCCAGCCCGGAGGTGTCCTTTGGCTCCTGTGTGTCAAGGGCACGTGTCACTCCATGCCCTTGTCCCCAGTCCCTCTCCAGCTCTCTTGGAGCCCCTTTAGGCACTGGAAGGGGCTCTCAGGTCTCACCAGAGCCCTCTCTCCTCCAGATGAACACCCCCAGCTCTCTCAGCCTGTCTCCAGAGCAGAGGGCTCCAGCCCTCAGAGCATCTCTGAACTCCTCTGAACTCATTTAACCTCGTGTGAACCCCTCAGACCAGGCTGGGAGGAGTGGGGAGAAGGGGATGCAGCTCCTTCCTGCCTCCCCAGCTTGATCAGGGGCAGCTGGATCCCCTGTGCAGTGGATTGAAGCCGTGCACTGCGTGGGGAAATGCCAGCAAGGAGCTGCCTGACCAACTCTCTGGAAACAGATTCCATGACAAAGAGCAAACATATTCCTGGGAGGTGAAATCCTCTGGTTTAGGGATTCCTCCACTTGCCTTCTCCAGCAGATCTGTCTGCAGAGCTGCAGAGTTCAGTCCCGAGTGTTGCAAAGGGATCAGTAATTGTGGGCTCTGTATGAACATGAGCCCCCTGCACCTCGTGGGGAGCACAGGGATGATGAGTGTATTGCCATGGAAATACAGATTGGAGCTGCCAGTCGCCTCAGTCCTTGTTTCTGGCCCCTGCAGATTCCCTGCTCTGATAATTCTGTTGCTAATTGCTGCTTTTTTCCTTTAGGATCGCTTGTATTTTGTGATGGAATATGTGAATGGTGGGGACTTGATGTACCAGATCCAGCAGGTCGGGAGGTTCAAGGAGCCCCACGCTGTGTAAGTGCAGTAGTTTGGCCCCTTTGGGGTAGGTATGGGATGTACCTGTGCCATGTGGCTGGAAACAGAGCCCAAGGCACGGGCTTTGTGGTGCAGTTCCTGGGCAGAAAGGGAGGGGAAGCAGCAGGACTGGGAAGAAGCAGGAGAAGTCTTTGCCAAGAATGCTGGTATCTCCACCTCACCTTTGGGGTACGTTGCACTTGTAAATAATTGAGCTAAAGAAAAAAAATATGTAAATGAAAGCACAAGGCGGGGAGGTTTGGAGGCTTCCACCAGGCCTCTGTTCTGCCTGGTCCTTCCCTGGGGGACAAAAAGGATGGTGGGTGTTGGCTCCTCTGCTGGGATGGCCAACCTGAGTGTTACTGGTGACTTTTGGCTCGTGTCCCCTGGAGCTGGACAGAGCAGGATGTGTTCCTGAAAGCCTTCAGATGCTTCACTCACTGTGATCGGGTTTGAAAGGTTTTCATTTTGATTCATCTCCCCTAATTATCAGTCTTGCTTTAAATGTCCTATTTCAGGTTCTACGCAGCAGAAATAGCCATTGGCCTGTTCTTCCTGCAGAGCAAAGGCATCATTTATCGGTAGGTGAGCAGGTTCCTCCTTCCTCCCTTCCCCTGGACCCCAGACCAGAGGCTCTGGGCCCCCCATCTGCCACAGCCCCAGGGCTCTCCCTGCCTGTGCCATGGGCAGGGTCTGGCAGCTGCCTGTGGGCAGAATCACAGAATCATTAAGGTTGGAAAAGATCTCTGAGATCCTCGAGTCCAACCATCAGCATGTTCCACACACCCAAACAGAGCTGGGAGCCTCGAGGTGCTGCTGGTTCGGGGGAGGCTCCTGCTTTGTCCCGGTTTGTAGGAAGGCACCTCTGGTTCTCTCCTGTTCCATGTGTTTCTCTCCACACAACACAAATGCTCGCTGGCAGCCTGGACCAGCTCCCAGCCCCTGCAGGGCACCTCTCCCTTACCATTAACGCTGGAGGAAGCGCTCACCAGGGGCTGGTTCCGAGCTCTGCACTGCGAGTCTGTCACTTCTGCTCCAGCCACCACATCTCCTTTGCCATCCCCAATCTGATTGCAGCACCCAGAGGAGCTGGGGCACTGCCACGTGCCTGACCAGGCTCAGAGGCTGCTGCTCTAGCTCTGAAAGTGGTGTTCTCTGCTCTTCCCTGCTCCAGAGAACTCCCAGAGCCCAGGGTGGAGCAGAGCATCCTAATGAGTGTCACATACCATTAAGTGCCCTGCAAAGGGAGATGCTGGAGATGAAAGAAGTAGAGCAAACTTGACATGAGGGATGTTTTTTTGCCATCAGCTGCTGCAGAGAGATTTCTAGGTTTGTCAGTCCCCAGTGCCCCTGCTTCCTTCCTTCCCCCGAATCTGAATCCCAGATAGCCCTGTCCATCTGCCTTTGGCCTGTCAGGGTTCTAAGCACTGACATGATAATTGGAAAAAGCAGCCTTAAACCCAGCAAGAGTGTAGAAATTGCACCAAAATACTGTTTGCTACAAAAGTGTCCTCGAGGCTGGAGCACCCGCCCCTGAGTTGGGGCTGGGAGTTGGATCTGGGGCTCTGCAGCTGGATCCATCCCTGCAGCTGGATCCATCCCTGCAGCTTGTTCTGAGGAGCAGAGCTTCTGGGGAGCTGGGTACCACAAACAGGTATTGTGTGGGTGAGGATCAGAGAGAAACACAGCTGGTTTGTATTTCATGGGGGAGCAGAGCACAGGTGAGGCAGGGACTTGGGCTGAGTAGGGGTTTCTTCATCCCTGGGAGCTTTAAGTGCACTTTGATTTTCACAGGAGCAAAAAAATAAAATTGATTCAATCCATCCCCTGCCAGATGAGTGTTTTCCATCATACACTTCAAAGCACTGTGCCCAGCATGGTGTTCCTGTGGGTTAAAAGTAACATAAACACTCCATCCTGACAGGTCTCTGACTTATTTTTACTCATTTCCCCAAACATCGTCCTGCAAAGAGTCTGGTGTGAGACAAAGCTGGAGCTGAGGAGTCCAGCAGAGCCCTGGGAGTCGGGAGGCTCGTGCTGCCTGTTGTGCCATGGGTTTGCTCTCACCCTGTAGGGACCTGAAGCTGGACAACGTGATGCTGGATAGCGAGGGGCACATAAAGATCGCAGACTTTGGCATGTGCAAGGAGAACATCTGGGACGGGGTGACCACCAAGACGTTCTGCGGCACTCCCGACTACATCGCGCCCGAGGTGAGCGCGGCAGGGACCGCGGGCACGGCCTGGCAGCCTCGCTGCTCTGCCCCAGGGGACAACCTTGCTCTGGGCTGGCTTGTTGGAACAGGGCCAGCCTGGGAAGTTCATCCCCTCAGCACTGTGACAGGCGCCTCCAGCACAGCGTGACCAGGGAATTAGCAGTGGGTGATATTTCCCTGTGAAGTGGAAATCCTTAGATCTGTCCAGCCCGCTGTTTGCAGTGAGGGGCCCTGTGTCCGAGGGGGAGATGCTCCCTATCCGTGGCTCTAGATCACCCCAAAATGACTTTGCAGTTGGTTGTTACTGATGGGATGGAGTCGCACACGGCACTTCCATGAAGTGCTGTATGGGCACAATTGTGAAATTCAGCGGCGTAATTATTCCCAATGCCTGTTTCCTTTCCATAAAAATATCCCTCAGAAATCTTGTCACTGCTGAATTTGAAATGATGAGATTAATATTTATACATTTAAATATTTTAGAGAAAGAGATTCTCTTTGTTAGGACATGGATGCACTCGTGCTAAACCGTGTTGTGTTTGCTGCAGCCAGTGAGGTTTCCAATTACTGGATCAAACGTGTGTTCCATCCCCTCATCCCCCAGGATTAATACTGGGGGTGTTGGTGCAGAGCTGGTTGCTGTGAGTGATTAATGCTCCTTCAAAGCAGGACAAATGACCAGTTCTCTAGGTATTTGCCTGAGTGTTTTCACTCTAACTCTTATTTTCTTCTCCTTGCTCTAATTCTTTTTTTTTTTTTTTTCCCAAAAGAAAAACAGAAAATAGGAAATTAGGATGCAGGTCACTGTGGCACCCGGGAGAATGACATTAAAGCCTGCTGCCAGTGGGTCTCAGAGGAGTGATCTCACACATCCTCTTTGGGAATAGCAATTAGGTTGTGGCACAGTGGCCACACTCCAGCCCAGGCCCTTCTGCTGCTCCTCCCTGTCTCCTCCTTTAGGGAGCTGCAATGTGCTCAGGCCAAGGTGGCTTCAGGGTAAAACAGTCCTGTGGTTTGCCTGACCCATTTTTAGGACTTTTCCTGTTGCAAGCCAGAGCTGTGCATGCCAAGGTGGCAGGTCCTGCGTGCGAACAGCCCTGCGTGTGATCCCCTCTGAACAGAGCTGTTCCTCACCTGCTAGGGTCTGACCTTCCCCAACGGGCAGCTGGGGACTTCACAGGACAGAGGATTTCTTCTGAGTTCTCTTTCCTTTCAAAGACCTTTATGATGTGAACAGTTCACACCTGGATTTCCCAGAGCGCTGGTAAAGAGCGAGTGGGAGGGACCCCGAGTGCCCTCAGTCGAGGGATTTCAGTGCTGAAACATGTGCCAGTGAATAACCTTGTGCTTGTGACCTGGGCTGCAGCTTGGAATCACTTTGCCACCAGGTCAGACCTGGGAGTGTAATCCTACTGTTCTCTTGTTTGCAGATAATTGCTTACCAGCCTTATGGGAAGTCTGTGGATTGGTGGGCGTTTGGAGTCCTGCTCTATGAGATGTTGGCTGGCCAGGTAATTGAGTTTTAATTGATTCCTCTGGGCTGTGTTACATTCCATTTTGAGGACACACTGATGTGGAATTTGCCATGCTGCTGGCACACAGCTGGGGCATTTTCTTCGGAGCTTGGAGTGAGTCTGGGTGCAGCCTCAGGGACTGTGATGATGATTCACTTCACTGCATGGCACAACCTGGTCTGGGTCCATGGCCAAGGCCCACAGCAGCACCTGGAAGCTTAGGGACCCAGAAATGCCACTGAACCTGTGTCTGCTTTACCCTAGGCCCCCTTTGAGGGAGAAGATGAGGACGAGCTCTTCCAGTCCATCATGGAGCACAACGTCGCCTACCCCAAGTCCATGTCCAAGGAGGCAGTGGCCATCTGCAAAGGGGTAAGGGCTGGGCTGGGTCCTCTGCCGGCCTGGGGGAGATGTTTGGGCAGTGGGAGCAGTGAGATGCTGCACACCTGGGGGTCCCAGCTCACCCCCTGCTCCCCAGCTCAAGGGGATCTGACACTCGGTTGGGTTCTCCACTCCCAAAACTACAGCTTGTGTCATTTGTGTGTATGTGCTAAAACCAGGTAAAAATCACACCCACATCCTCTCTGTGCTGTCACACTGAGCAGATATACAACTGGGACTCAGGGGCTGCTCTGAGGGCTCAGGTGAAGTTCAGAAGGAATTGGGATGTTGGCTGGGAGGTGGGAAGGGAGGGCATCCCCAGAGACCCTGTGCCCCATCAGGGGAGGACGGGGCAGCTCTATCAATCTTTGCCTGAAATGAAAAATTATGCTCAGGGGAAATGAATGTGATCCCAGAATAGTTTTTCTATGATCAGATACCTTCATCCTTCTGCTTAGCTCTGATGTCACCCCTCAAGACAAGCTGAAGCTCAGTGCTGGTGGTGTCTGGGCAGTATTTTCATTATCATGTCTCTTAATCTGCAGTGAAGCTCTGCCTTGCCCAGCATCCTGACCTCTCCACGGACTGGGCCTAGTCATGACTTAAATGCAGCCTGAGTTAATTTGGGATGTGATGGATAAAGGCTGGCAAGGTCCTGATGTTGTTCTGTGTGCTTGGGACTGAGCCTCATCTCACCTCCAAGTGCCACACACTGCTATAAATATGTGTTTGTGTAGGAATTTAAGAAATGTTTGCTTATAATAGTTAATATTGAAAATATCTGAATGTTCTCTATCTCAAAATAGTGTTTCTGTCTCCAAATGACACATCCTGCGCTCAACGCTCCCACTGCGGCATTTCAAAGCCTCTTCCTGGCGTTGCCAGGATTCTGAGCTGGTGTTAAACAGGAATATTCGCTCGTCCTGTGGGGAAAAGCAGGTGTTCCCACCTGGAATGGGGCACAGGGAGGGGGTGCTGCCCCCCCACTGTCAGCAGGATGTGGGAGAATCAAGTCCTTGATTTAGAAACCACACTGGTGGTCAGGGGGGATTCCCACAGGCACTGTCACCACCTCTCATCCTCTCGCTGGGATGTTGGGCACGTAAAGGGAAAACCCGGCGTGTTCCTGGTCAGGCAGGAGGGCGGGAGGTGTTGGTGCTGCCGAGCATCGCTGTCCCTGCCGTGCCCGAGGCTGGAACAGGGACCAGGCTCAGTGTCAGCTTTGTTTGCTGCTGCATCAGTCACAGCGTGGGTGCTGTAAATAGATGAGCAAGGACCGTGACTGCAGCGTCTGCTGGGTGTAGCTGCGATGGCTTTTCTTACTCTGGAGATGGGAGGCTGCATGGGAGGATATTTGGCCACACACTGAGGGTTGATTCTCTATAAATTCCTGTATTTTTTTTTGGACCAAAGTGGTGGTTCCCTCTTGTACTACTGTTGTTTCAAAACCTCCTGACATTCTCTGCCACCACCAAACTGCTACACCCCAAAGTTGAATTAAAACTGTGTAGGATTTAGGAACTTTTTAGTAAGCTGGGAACTAAGTATGTATGTTTTCCCCTGGAACACAGTGGAATACATCTCGGTGAGCTGCACTGAGGCTGAGCTGTCTGTGTTGGTGTGTGGTAGGTCTGCCAGCAGGGCACAAACCCAGCCTTATGTTAGTCCAGGGAACAAGCCCCTGGAGAAGCCTTTGCCCCTCCCTTGAGAGGTTTGGTGTTTCACTGCCACGGTCTCCAAACCCAATTTTTTGTTCCCCCGTGGTTTCACTCCAGTGTGCTGGTGCCAGTCATCCCTGCACCACTCAGAGATGGAATGTGTTTGATCCTGAAAGCCTGGAACCAGCCTGAGCCCAGAGACAAGCGTTAATCAGGGCTCCTTGGCTGGGAAGGAAAGTGGAGAGTTCACTGGCACAGGGCTCCAGGACTCTCCAGTCAGCAGCAATTAGTGGATCAAACGGAGCATTTCCCTCCTGTGCTGTCAGCTCGGATTTGTTTCTGAAGGCTGATCTGGGAGCTGCTGTTTCCACGGGCAGGTAGTTCAGGTTGGGTTATCAGGAGCCAGACTCCTGTCCCAGCCCTGGGAGCTTGTGGGCACCAGCACAAACCCTCAGCCTTTTCCATCCTGTATGGAGGGGTCTGATGGTGCCTGAGCAAATCAGCCCTTTCCAGGAGAACAGATTGTCTGTGACTATCAGCTCCCTCTTTAATCTCTGCCTGGTAGCAAAGGCATGAAATGGCATGTTTTCTGCAGCGTTTTGGGAATATTTACAGGTATTTTGGGTGGCATTTCCCCTGGTGCTGGTGCCTGAGAAAAGCCCATCACAGCTGCTGTCCGTGCTGCTGCCACACATGTTCAAGAGGCCGAGACATGTTTCCTCTGCCACCTTCCTGGGTGTCTTACTCAGAGATTTGTTGTTGGGTTTCTCTTTTATAAGCCTGAGCAGAGGCTGGAAAATCCCTGCTCTAGCCTGTGTAGCCTGCCAGCCCCTCACTGTTTGCAGATGGGCTTTCCAGGGGGATGCTGCTCCACGGAAGCTGCGCTCCATCACTCTTCCAGCTGCAGATGGCATCACGGCTGGTGGACGGGCATGTAGAGCTGTTTGCTCACAGAGCAGTTGGTGGCTCTGCTCTTGCCTCATATTTGGTGGAGTTTGTGTTTTTAGGGTTCAGGAGTTTTTTTTCCTAGAATTTTTCATGGGTGGCAGGACTGCTCATTCTGGCAGGGACACCTTCTGCTGGATCAGGTTGCTCCAAACCCCATCCTGGCCTTGAACACTTCCAGGCAGGGGGCAGCCATGGCATCTCTGCTCGCTTCTGGAACCCTTTTCTCAGCTCTCTGGCTGGAGAGGTGCTCTCTCTCACTGGCACCTCCTTTTCCTCCCAGAGGCTCCCCCAGCCCAGGGACACAGAGTCAGACTTCCTGCAACCTCTGCACAGCCCTGGGATCAGTTTGAACTGCCTTGCTTTTAATAAAGCAGTGCTTTTGTTGCAGGTATATAGCTCATATTCTCCGTCCTTATCAACATCTTGTGAATCTCTGGAATCTCCATCTGATCTCTCAACATGGCTCAAACCCTGCCCCAGGATATTAATGTTGTACAGCTGCCCTTAATTCCTGGGGCCCCTTTCCCTTACTGAGCCGGTGAAGGGGAGAAGTTTAGATGATAAACAACATTAATGGACTGTTTCTGCTTTTTTTTCTCCATGGTGACTCTTTCATTAGAAATCCACCTCATGTCTGTGCTGCTGCGGCTCTGGAGGAGTGGGGGCTCTGCTGGAGGAGGGCTGATGAAAGTTTTGGAGGGCAGATTGTTCGTCTTGGATGGGCAGTGGGTTTTGGAGTTAATTCTGCAGATGCTGAGAAGTTTGTACCAAGCAGAGGCAGCTTTGCTGCCATCCTGCCCCCCTGCAGCGGGAGGGGCTGCAGCACCACAGGGAGCTCTGCCAGCACCCTGAGGTTCTTTCTTGGCAAACCAGTTCCATTCCCAGAGGGAAAGGGATGTGCCCATCCTGCCAGTGCTTATGTACCTGCCACCTGTTCTCATAAGCCATTGTCAACCTTCCCTGTCCCTGGAGCTGCTCTGGCTTCTCCCTCGGTCCTCTGCTTGGAGCCCCAAAAGCAGGTGGAGCAGATGGGACCCCTCTGGGATACAGACCTTGATTTGGGGTGTCCTGGGACAGCAGCTGCGTGGTGCTGCCTGTCCAGCTGGGCATCACAGTCCTCTGGGGGTTTGGGAGGTAGCTGGACACCCTGTGAGTGACTGTGTCTTCTCTCCCTCTCCCCCAGCTGATGACCAAGCACCCCGCCAAGCGCCTGGGCTGCGGCCCGGAGGGGGAGCGGGACATCAAGGAGCACGCCTTCTTCCGCTACATCGACTGGGACAAGCTGGAGCGCAAGGAGATCCAGCCCCCCTTCAAGCCAAAGGCTGTAAGTGTTGTGAGTCCCCCCTCCTGCTCTCCCTCGTGCCAGGGCCACTCTCCTCCAGTGCTGCTTCCACTCCTCAGGACACACGGGCAGACGGGCGGGTGCTGCTCGTCCTGGAGGTGCCGTTTCTTTGTCTGCCTGGAAAATGGTTTCTCCTTGGGTCTGGCACGTGTCAGAGCTCTGCCATGGCAGGAGAACTGGGGGATGCCTGCTCCCACTCTGGCTTGCAGGGATGGAAGCTCCGCACGTTCAGCTCCCGGACCCCTTTGTGTTGCAGCACTGTCTGTCTGTCTGTCATCCTGGGTCAGTCTGTCTGCTGGGTTTTTCCTTCCTTCTTCTCAAGCTGACCAGGTCTCTCTGTTCTATAATCCCAGCTTTATTTTAACACCAGGTCAGCTCAGTGTGCCTGAGGGGCAGTGCAGCTGAATTTGACCCCCCAGTCTCTCCCCAAGGTGGAGGAATGCAGCCTGGCTCACAGAGGGGGGATCCTGGCTGCCCTCCCTCAGCCCTGCTGGCCCTGCTGGGCAGAGGTGCTGGGAGTGCAGCCTGGGGGGAATGAGCTGCCAGAGCCAAATGGAGGTGCAGGCAGGAGCAATCAGGAAGCTGTTTGTCAGAAAAGGTGGGAATACTTGTCTGCTCCCGGTCCAGCCATCGTTACAGCAACATCTGAGTGGGTAACACCGGTGCAGGGGTGCAGCCTGAACCCCACCGTGGGTCCTCCTGACTGCTGTGCTGTGGCTGCTCTGTGATTCCAAAGTCTGTGTGATCCTCTCTCCCTGTGCTCTCCCTGTCCTCCCCCAGAGGATGTGCAGGAAGCAGTGACCATGTAGGCTCAGGAACAGGGATGCCTCTCCCTGGATTTCTCTATTTCTCTTTGCCACTGGTGGGACTGGCAGGGTCCCAGCCATGCCCAGGTCTCTCTGTGGTGCTCCAGTTCCTTAAGGCTTGGGATTATTCACGTGCTTCCCTCCCAGGTGCCTCTTGGCTGCTGTACCCTCCTTGGCACTGGTGTCTCACAGAGAACTGAATCCACAGTTAATCTGATCTCCATGGCTGATATTTGTGATCAGGGTGGGGACATTCCATGCTCCCTTAATCCATCGTCCTGGGTCACAGCTCAGAGTCCAGGGATGTTCCATACATTTACCTGAACCCTCCCCTGTCCCACTGCCTGGAACAACCTCATACACATCTGCTTTTCCTCTGCTTTACAGTTATCCTATTCATTTCAAGGGACCCCTGCTGTGCTTGGAACAGCTCTGCTTTCAGGGAAGACATGGAGTGGGAGTCCACTGGGTGCAGGGTGCTCAGCACCTTTAGCTCTGCTCCCTCTCAATGCCTCTTTGCTCCAGCAGCTTTCTCCCTCCTACAGCTCCTTTTCTGACTGATCAAACAGGAATAATCCACCCATTTGGTGGCTGTGTCAGAGCCTCCACAGCCCTGTCTCCCTCCAGCACATGGCACAGGTGGGGCAGGGGTGCTGACCTGGAGAGCTGCTGGCCATGCCCTGCCTACGTTTGGGGCTGCTTGTTTTAATTTCAGACAGCTATTTTTACCAAGGTCACTGCTGGCGATGATGCCTGTGCAGGGAGCTCCGTGGGGTCCTGTCCTCAGAGCTGCTCATTTCCACTCTGTGCCTCGTGGCCCAGGCTGTCTCCACATCTGCAGAGGGATGATCTCCTGTTCTCCCAGGTGCTGGGATGGTTAGCCCAGGGCTCTGGATTGTGCCTGCCTGCCTTTCCTTGGGAAGGAAGGGGATCTTCAAGCCACTGGACCGTGTAGGAACAGTGTTACCAGGAAGGTGTTAACTTTGGTATCAGAGTGTAACAGTGCAAAGTGCTTGGGGCTGTTTGTGCCCCCCGGGATTTTTCTGGGGCTGGGATCAGACCTTTGTGCCAGGGATGCTAAGGCACAGAGGTAAATCCATAGCTCCTGCTATTTCCCACCTCTGTGTCTGTTTTCCAGTGAAGCTGCTGCTGCTGTGTCCCCTCTACCTTTTCCCTCTCTTCCCCAGCAGCTCCCCAGTGTCACCTGCCCTGGACTGGGGCAGAACAGAACGTTGGTGTTTGGTGTTTTACAGTGCAAAACAACTGAATTCCATCAAAAGTGCTTCCTTACCGCTCTTCTGCTTTAAAATGTGCAAATTTTGTCCTGCTTTAAATGTCTTCACTCTTTAAAAATCCCTTTGACACCGGCCCTGGGGAGGGGGACGGTTAAGCTGCCGGCTGTCGCTTCACCCAGCGGCTGGCGCCGGGAAAATTCCCCGTTTGATAGGACAGGGAGATTAACAGCAGCTGATGTGGGATTTAGGGAGGATTAAGACAACTCAGGTACTTGCTGATAGCTGATATTTCTCCAGCAGTGCCTCTGTGCTGCAAAAAGCTGTTTCTTTCATGCCAGCAGTGGGTGCAGAGCAGAGCAGCAGGGATGGGAGTGGGGTTTGGGCGCTGACGGGGTGTTTGGGGGGTGACAAGGGGAGATGTTGCTGAGTGTTTGTGGCCCTCAGGGGTCACACCAGGGCTGAGCACTGCTGCAGAGGAGTTGGTGCTGACCTGGCTCTTCCCCTTGGCTAAAGTCTGTTTTCTATTTTTTTTTTTATTTTAAATAAATTAGTGTCTATAAAGGTCAGGCTGCAGGGATTGTTTGTATCCAGAGCCTCAAAGTAAGGCATAACACGCAAATGAGGGCTGGGTGTCTGCCCTCAGCCATCCCCTGATCCAGCCCATGCTCAGCCCCAGGAACACCAGCCAAGGGGAGCAGAGCCCCATTCAAATTGTCTTTAGCACAATTTTGCTTCTCAGAGGTGTTCTTAGTTCATGTTTGATTTGAGCTGGTGGCTCAGTTCCTCATCCACACCCCTTCTCCACCAAGGCACCTTTGCTGGTTGTCTCTTCTGTAGCAGGCACACATTTTTTGGCCACATTTCCATGATGTTGTAGCATTGCTGCAGTTTTCAGTGGGGGTACGGGGGGCACTGGGAGGGTACTGGGGAGGGCTCGCTGTGCCAGCCTAGCCCTGCGTCTGGGGAGGGCATCAAATCCCCCCCAAAACCTCCATCATTGCACCCCACCAGGGAAATGGAGGCTTCAGCCTCTGCCTGGCTGGGCTGTTCCGTGCCCAGAGCTGGAAGTGAATTCCCAAGAGCTCGTGTGTTGCTTTGTGCTTGATTAACCTTTATCACAGAGTCAGCAATGAGACAGATCAGGGGCTGGGTTGTCTTTGGTGGTTCTGACGTGGGGCTGTGCTTGGCTGCTCCCTGCTTTGGCTGGTGCATAACAATTCCTTCCCTGGGTCCACAGTTACCCTGGCAGTGTATTTACACTTCTCTGCTCTCCCTGTCTCTCGTTGAGATAATTATTGTTTTTGGTGTCTAATTACTCCTTTACTTTACGTAAAGCCTAGTGATTTGAAAAGTCTCATTTTGAAAGCACTGAAATCACATGGCAGAGCCCAGGATTACTCACAACAGGATGAGGGGTTAAAAAAAACGGCTTTTAATCTAATAATTTTTAATTGCATAAATTAATTTTCCCCTAACTGCCTTGAGTTAATTAATATTGAAATGCCATTTATAGACCTGGGTGTGTAAGAGTGCTGGTTCCCTGCCTGTGGGGTTTTGTAGCCTTAGCTCAGGCTGTACAAGGCGAGTTCCAATGTTTGCAGAAGTAATTTCCTAATTAGGGGGGATTTAAGGATTGAGGGGACCGACAGTGGGCAGGTGGAAGTGCTAAGGTTAAACATCTCCTCTGGTAATCCAGTCAGGATTTGCTCTGGGATCTCTCTGAGATTCCCCAGACTATTCAGCCGCTGTTTTCAGTTTATTAGGCAGAAACTTGGCTCTTCCCACAGGAGTTGGATGAAAGGCAGGGCCCTGTATCAGGAGCCCTCGCAGCAGATGCTCCCTCTGCCAGCAGCAGGGATGAAGGGATGTGCTGGAGCATCCCAAAGCACCAGCACCCCCCTGACCAGCACAGGGACACTCGGGCTGGCCCCAAGTTCGTGCTGTGACGGGAATCTCCCCAAACACGGTTACCAGAAGAGCCCTGATCCTCCCTGGGGTACAAGGGGCCAGTTTTCCTGACCCAGAGCAGCACCAGGAGGTCAGACTTGCCCAGGAGATGCCTGCAAGGCCGGTGGGATTGTGGCTGTACCACTGTTTCGGGCCAAACCCTGGGGAAATGGGGGGTGTCTTCAGCCCAGCACCTCTCCTTGGTGCTGGGACAAGGGCTGGTGGCAGCAGCATCCTTGGCTTCTTATGGTCCTTGATTGCATCCTAGGGATCAATGGAAAATATTTTATTATGCCTTTTGTCTCTATTTGAAATCAAGCAGGAAAGTGATAAAACACAAGGCCATCTTCGGAGCTGACAGGTTTATTTCTGCAGCTCAGGAAGAAAAGCCATTCTGTGCTGGCTATAAATATTAGACAGGACACGCTGGGATTTATGTAAGATAAATTCCCACCCTCCCTCTTTCTCCAGTCGGGGTGGAGTGATGCCTGTACATTAATATCAGACTAAAAGGAGGCAGATTTTTCACAAGGTGGCTTTAGATAAATGTAAAAATTCACATGGCATCTCCTGTCCATTAACATGGGACTTAATTTAGGAAGCTGTAAAGAAGGTGCTCCTGCAGATAGAAACCATTTGCTGCCTGGAGTGGCACAGATCCTTCCTGCTCTCCCTTGTCACAGGGGTGGGTCAAACGTGGAGTCTGGAACTCGGGCAGTGCTGGGCTGGAATAACCCTGCCCTGTTCCCAGAGCCCCCAGCTGTCTCAGGGTGTGGGGTGAGAGCAGCACCGGTGCAAGGTCCCCACCTTCAGACCTCAGGGATGGGCTTGGCTGTGACTTCTGTAAACCCAAAGGCAATTTTCAGCCTTAAAGTATTGATTTTATCCATCCATTTTATCTGTATCCAAAAAGAAAGTCCACAATTTCCACGCAGCAGGACAGGAAATACTATGGATAGATGCAACTTCTCAGATTTTCCATCCACATACACTTAACTTATTGCATGATAGTCAGAAATTCTTGCTTGCCAATATGCATATTGAAATATATTTGTGCTTCCTATTGCAATAACTGGTAGCATCTCGTCAGGATTAATTTTTAAATCTTTCTGAGGGGGTTGCTCATTTGGTTGGGGTTTTTTTAACTTTTTTTTTTTTTTAAGACAGCACATTTCTCTGTAGCCAAAAGGCATCTGGTGCTGTCAGACATTGCACATGAGCTGCCCTGAACGTCTGCACTGAGGTCTTGTGAAGCTGATGGGGAGTGACAGCGGGATGGGAAGGCTCTGAAGGCTCCTGGTGTGTGTTGGGGCTGATGGAAGGGGCAGGTGAGCGGCTGGGCTGCAGGTGACCCCTGCCATGGTGCTGTTACTGCAGCTTTCCTGCTGATCCTGCTCCTGGTCTGAGTTATCCTGGTGCCCAGGGGGAACAGTGGCCAGGAAAGCCCAGCTTGGCTCCTGTGTCCTGACTTTGGCCCCCTGGGCTTTGTGCAAGTGGCAGCTGCCATGTGGAGGATTTGATTGCTGGTTTGGTGTTCCTGTGCTGGCTTTGGGAAGGTGTCAGGCTGTCAAACAGCTCCCCCACAGGCTCCTGCAGGGTCCCCAGGGCTGGGGCTGCGGCACATGGGACCCCCCAGCCCTGGAGAGGTGCAGGAGGGGACAAGGGCTGGGCTCAGCTCCGGGCTGAGCTCATGGCTGTGGGCAAGAGGTGCTTTTGGGAGCGCAAGATTAACAAACCCAGGCTAGAAATGTGAAGATGTGGCCTTACAAACCTGAGAGGGAACCATGGGGTGGAAGGATGGGCTCAGGCTGAAGTTAAATCCACTCAAGCATTACCCCTTGAGCTGTTTTTTAGAGGTCTGAGAAGTTTGTGTCTCACTTGGTGCTATAAGGACATACAAGAGCTGCCAAAGGAATGTGCCATGGGGGCTGATGGATTTGCACACTGTCTTCCCTGAAACCTCTGAGCAGAGGAGGGAATGGGAAATGCTGAAGTTTACATGTATTTGTCGTTAATATTTTATTAAATTTAGTCTGACGTTTATTAAAATTGCAAATCTATTTACTTAACAAATGAAAGTTAAACACCAGGAAAGATTGTGGCAGCACTTGGAGCGTGTGTTCTCTCAGGGGCAATGGGAGAGAGACTTGGGGGACTGGGATTTGCTGGCTGAGCAGCTTCTAGGAGGAAGCAGGGCCCAGAGAGCGTTGGCTGCGTGTGACAGGAGGGAGAGTGCCCAGCCCTTGGAGCAGAGTCCCCACACGTTGGGGATGTGACGTGTGTGACGGGCAGGAGCTGAGCCTGCTCTGTGGCTGTGCAGTGACCTGGCACCCAGCTGATGTGAGCTGCTGCCCTTGTTATTGCACTGAATCACAACCCCCAGCCTTGTTCTGACTGCCCCCCATCCCATTCCTGCTGCAGCCGCTTCCCACGGCACAGTTCCCTGAGCGGGGGCTTTGCCAGTCCCTGGCTGTGCCGTGCCATGCCATGCCATGCCATCGCCCCGTGACTAACAAGGTGTGTTCTGCACCTTTTCCCATCCTGCCATGGCTGTGCCGTGATGGGGGGGTTGGTGCAGCCCCGTCCCACCCACCATCGTTCTTTTCTCCCCCTCTCATAGTGCGGACGCAGTGCCGAAAACTTCGACCGGTTTTTCACTCGCCACCCACCCGTGCTAACACCTCCCGACCAGGAAGTCATCAGGAACATTGACCAGTCAGAATTTGAAGGATTTTCCTTTGTTAACTCTGAGTTTTTTATGCCTGAAGCCAAGAGCTAAGTAGCTGTGTAGATCTCATCCCCACATCCATCATCCAGTCCCAGCTGCTGCTGTGGAGACATTTTCCATTGCAAAACTTGCATCCATGGATTTTCTCCAGTCCCTTACTAGAGTGACCATACTTCAAAGCCAGAAGTGTCTTCCTGTGATTTGGGGTGTCCCTGGATGGGGGGTGATGTGCAGCAAATGCTGCAAATGGTCTTTTGTGATGGGGGTTTTTTTTGGTAGAAAATGGGAGCAGTTCAGTGGGTGATGGAAGGAAAACAGAGACACGGGGACAATTGGGACAAATCCTTTCGTCATGTGTTTTAATTCCTGCTCTTTCGTTTTTCTAGCCTTTTAATATAATCATGAAAATTTCATATTTAGCCTCCTTAGCCTTAGTGGCAAGTAAGTGTTTTTAATGAAGCTTTTCCCCAGAGCCTTTCAGCTCCTCCTAAAACCTCTGGAGAGCCAAGATGCTGATTCTGGCTCCTTTTTTAGCCGTGTCCTGCTGTCTGTCCAGCCCTGCCACAGCTCCCCTTCCCTCCAAAGATGCTTTGGGATGGCATGTTCCCAGTGCTGGGTCCCCAACAATGAGATAAGTTATTCAGGAAGGCAGAGCTGCTGTTGGCAAAGATTTCTCCTGATTGTGCAGTTCTTAAGTGATTTTTTTTTAAATCAAAACATACAATATCCAGTGCTAAGTGAGGAATTCGGAAGAGCTGCTTTTGAGTCCGTGGTCACCCTAGTAAACACCCCCAACACCAGTTCTATAGTGAGGTTTCTTCTTCTTTTCAAATGCCAAAGCAATGGATGGAGTTTGTTACTTGCGCTTTAAACGTGTCAAAAAATGGTATTAACCCAAACGGGACCTATTTAACTCTGACCAGTATTGTGAATTCTGAGCTGAGCCTTGTAAAGAAACTTGTTTCAACTCTTAGCCCTACTCTTAAAAATTGCAGCTAGCTATTTAAATGGCCTCATTTAAATGTTTTGTTTCTGGCCTCAAAGGAAACCTTTCAGGAAGGGTGAATGTCTCTTGAAACAACAACAGTCCCACCACTTCCTTCTATGCCCTTGCAGATGTTTGTGGGCTGTCACTGTATCAATCTGCTTTGACTTGTAATGTGCCAATTTTTTTTTTCCTGATACTGATTATAAAATAAAAAGTGAGAAACTGTGTCCAAGAAACCTGCATGTGTTTGGCAATAATGAGTTTCTCCAGCTCAGAGAGGCGATTCCAGGAGTTGAGGCTGCACCACGCCGAGGGCTGGAAGGTTCCCTGGATGCAGGGAATGCACTGGAGCCATGGCCTGCTCTTCCTCTGCAGCGTTTGTCCCAAAAGGACGGAGGTGGGATGTGCTGAAAGCATCGTCCGAGCAGGGAGTGATTGTCCACAGTCCCTGCACCAGCCCCTGCTGCGCAGCGATGACCCCGCTCACTCCAGCACGGACAGGGAAGGAGTTTCTCTGGGCTGACCCTTGGAGGAAGGACGATCTGGGGTGGAGGATGGCAGAGCTCTGCCGCTTGGGAATCTCTTCCAGCGCCGTAAGCGGAGCCGACTGCGGCATCGCCTCGGATTTCTGGAGACTGCAGAGGCGAGCGCCCGGCTTGTGCCGGTGACTCATCCCTGCCCCGCTCTCCCAGGAGCAGTTGTTCAAAGCAATTGGCAGTTTCAGCTAAAGAGGGATTACAGGTCCCTGTTAACCTCCCTCCTGAGTGCCTCCTGCCTTTGGGATTCCGCTTCTGCCCAGTTCTGCGGGTCCGGACACTGCGAGATGGTTCCGAACGGCACCGAACGGCGGCACCGACGGCACCGGCAGGAGCTGATCCCTGACCCCTCCACCCAGGCAGCCCCAGAGCTCTGCCATGGGGAAGGGGCTCAGTGGCAGTGGATGGGGAGGATTCCCATCCCTGTGGTCCAGGTGGAAACACTGCTCTGGGCCAGCCGTGCCCTGGACAGTGGGAGCCAGAGTGCCCCACTGTGCTCCCCGTCACCTCCCAGAGTCAATTCACCTGTTGCTGGAGGCACTTTCAGCCCTGAGTGTCCCCTGCCCTCCCCTCTCTCCGTACCAGATCCATGCAGCCATTCAGTGCCTGTTTTCAGGCTGTTCATCATCTTGACAGAAGCCAAATTGCCACCAATTCAGACAAAATTCAAGGTAAGAAACCAGCAAACCCCCCTTTGCTGAACTCAGAGCTTCCCAGCTGAACCCCCAAGGACTGGGGGACTGCTGGAGGGGCAGTGCATGGGGGTGGGCTGCCCTGAGCCCCCTCCAGGGCACGTCACTGCCTTTGCTAGAGCTTCCTGCTGCCAAAAAGCAGCAGCAGGAGGTTTTTCCCACCCCAGGGCCCCCATGCTGAGCACTCTGGAGGGCTGGGGACCACGGTGGCAACTTGCACCAGTGGCAGATGTAGATGTGTCATTCCCCTTTGCAGCATCCCACAGCATTCCTCCTGAGGAGAAGCTCCCGGCTCGGTAGGATGGTGGTATCCTGGCACACGCTGGTTTGGACGGATGTGGCCTTCAGGAACCGTTTGGTCAGTTCAGCATCCCTGTGGGAATGGGGCAGGAGCCCCATCAGCTTCCTGTGCACGTGCTGGGGTGCAGGAGAGACCCTGTGCCCACCCCCTCTGCAGCAAAGGACAGCACCTTCCATGGACCAGCTCCTTGTCCCTGGGGGAACCCTGCTGCCATCAAGGTGGGCTTGTCCTCGCGTTCCAGCTGCTTCACCCTTTGCCTGCACAACTCTGCACCTGAAATCGGCTCCTTCACCCTGTCTGCCCCTCCCTGCTCCCGCTCTGTGCCTCCAGATCTGCAGCTTCTTCCTTCTCTGTGCTGGGAGTGGAGCCCTGGAGCGACTCTGACGGCTCAGGGACAGTTGGGACCTGCAGACAGCGGTGCCCTGAGCTTCACCACGTGTTCAAGTCCTGATGGCACAGCCACGTCCTGGCTCTTCTGGCTTCTCTCTCTTTGCTCACTGAGCTCCATCCAGCCCTGTTTTTCTTCCCACCTCGTCTCCTCTCCATCATCCCTGCCTCTCCCTGACCCTCCTCCCACAAGGCTGAAGCCATCCTGGTGGGATGTCTCCGGTGACGAGTGGGGTCTCCAAGCACCCCTGTAGGTCCTGGTCCGTTGCCAGCTCATCTCCCAAGGTTCCATCTGACTGCAGCTCTGGTGTGGTGCTCCCTGCCTGTCGGGGCTGGCAGGAGAACCTCTCTCTGTGCTGTGTCCTGGCCACGCTCCTGCTCGAGGCATGAAGATGCCAATGGCTCTGCCCTAAAGTCCTGGGACAGTGGCAGCTGCTGGGATGAGAGGGGCTACAGGGAGGACACAGCATCTCACCTGCCAGGTCCTTCACCAGGACAGGAGCAGGAGGTGGAGGGAGCAGGGTGGGATGTGGGACCTGCAGGACCCCCACAGTTCTTTCTCTCAGTACGAGCTGACAGATTATCCCAGGGTTGGAAATCCTGGTGCAGCAGAGCAGGGCCCCCTTCAAAGGCAAAGTCTGGGAAAAAATAAAACCAAATATCACCTTGCAGGTTTCTGCAAGGCACCAAATTTGTGACAGGGTCCTGCTGGTGTGACACCAGGGGAAGGTCAGCACAATGCTGGGGCCTCTCTTACACAGAGATATGGAAGAAGGGATGGGGAATTCTTTTGTCCCTGTTGGCTTTAGCAATGAGGCAAAGCAGAGCCAGCTTCCCGGCTGCCCCTTCCCCCCACCTCCCACTGCTGTGGATGAAGGACCCTGGGTGCTTGTTCTGTACCTTCAGTGCTCAGTCACCCCTTCAGCCACGGCCCTGTCCCCCCCCCCAGCGGGACACCCCTGAGCCAGGCAGTGTCTGATCCACACGGGTTTAGGAAGGCAGCCCACGCTCTCCCAGCGCCGGCTCCGCAGTGCTGATAGCAGGTTCCCAGCGCTAATCCTGACACTAACGTCCTTTTTTTTCCCTTTTTTGGCTTGGGTGTAGCTGCAAAGTGGTTCTTATGAAATTAAAAGGAGAAAAGGTTGCCTATGTGGAATTTTCCTTCTTGGAGGTTTTGAAGTGCTGTGTGTTTTCTCTGTACAACCCTGGAGCAAATCACATCCTCCATCAATGAACCGGTGTTGGTTAACACCATATCATGACATCATTCAAAAACCGAGCTTAAAGCAGAAAGAGCTCTTACAGCTGATTATTTTGTTTAAATTTTAACATCATATTGATTGTTTTGAGGCATGTTGCTTCCTCCAGGCTCCTTCCTCCTGTGCAGTGCCAAGCTCTGGTTGTAGGGGGGGTTCTGCATGCTGAGAACTCCTCTGTGCTCTCTCTCACAGTGAACAGCAGAGGAGAGGGGCTCCCTCCCCACCACCCTCAGCTCTCATGTGTCCCTTTATGTCCTGGTTGTGTGTTCCAGGCCTGTTAAACTGGTGTTCTCCTCTTCTTGCTGGTGGTGTGGGGCTGCTTCTTTTGTACAGGGCGGTGAGTTCCTCCTCGGTGGCAGCTTGAGAAGTGGTGTGGAATGTGGAGTGCTGGGGACAGCACGGCCCCCCTGGGGACAGCACAGCTCCCCTGGCTGTGCCCCCCTGGGTGCTGCCACTCTCCCTGGGTGCTGCCACGCTCTCTTGCTCGCTGGCTCGCTCCTTTCCCAGCTTAACTCTCTGCTTTCCGTTTAACAGAAAGACAAGCGCGACACTTCCAACTTCGACAAAGAGTTCACCCGGCAGCCAGTGGAGCTCACGCCCACGGACAAACTCTTCATCATGAACTTGGACCAGAACGAGTTTGCTGGATTCTCCTACACTAACCCCGAGTTTGTCATTAACGTGTAGTCGCGGCGCAGCCCTCTCCTCGCTGTCCCAGCTCCAGGTCGCCTTGTACATACCGACACTAGTCTTCCGGGATTAGCAGTGCAGACACACATTCCCTCCCGCCAAACACGCTGACCGCTTCTCCTAGGAGGCCTCTCCATGTCCGTGCCACTCGCTAGCTTGGTTTCCCTAGCCGGAGGTGTCCGGGGTGCCACTTACCGATCAGTGATACTTCTAGGAACTATAGTTGGTGGTGACTAATAGAGTTTTCAAACAGAAATATACCAAATTGCTACAGTCTCTGTAATTTTTGCAGTGGAATGCTGAGATCCCAGTGACCCAGCTACTCCCAAAGCGTTGCTGTGGAATGCTAAGCATGGTTGATCGCTTAAAGCGTTGTGCTGAAGCTTGCAATGAGTGTGAGCTTGTCTTAGAGGAGCCTTTTGTTCAAGACATGGATACATTTGATCAGTGTGGAAAAATCTGCTTGTAGACCTATACTTTTCATGGCATTGTCGATAGGATCAGCCCGGCTCCCTGGAGTGTCCTCCCCCACCATCCGCCTTCCCCGTGCCCGGGCATTGCCACTCCAAACCAATCCCATGCCAGTTCTTGTAAATCAGAGCAAATCTTTTTCTAAGTGAAAGGTGGGATTTTTTTTTTTTTGTAACATCTGGAACAGTTTGCAGTTTTGATACGCTCTGTCAGCACTCGCATAAATCTTCCGCAGACACTGTCGAGATGTAACAGCTCTGTAAAGGATATTAATATTCTACCAAAACAGAACACATTTATATTCTCGGTTTACAATTTACCAACTGAAAACACGCCCAAGACCAAAGGGCTGCACTGAGGGCTATTTATAACCGAAACTTTTCTACTTTACACCCTCTGCTATTCTCTTCCAGGCTCCAAACCCATGGATTTCACAGGCATCTTGATTTCCCTGATTTCCACCAAAATTCCTGGGGGTTTTAGTCAGTAATCCAGGACCTTCTACATCATTTAAAAAAAAAAATTAATGAGAAGGGACAATTTCAGCAGCTGGTGGTGAGGCAGAGCCGTGGTGTGTGGGAGGGCAGGGGTGAGCAGGGGCTGGAAGGAGGGGACAACAACAGGCAGGAGGAGGCAGAGGTGATCAGGAGGAGGCAGATGGAGGTAGGAGCAGGCAGGTGAAGGAAGGGGCAGGCAGGAGGGGACAAGGGCAAGCAGGAGGGGGCAGGAGCAGGCAAGTGTGGCCAGGGACAGACAGGAGCAAGGGCAGGCAAGTGGAGGAAGAAGCAGGCCAGGGAGGGCAGGAGTGGACAGGCAGGAGTGGGCAGGGGTGGGTAGAAGGGAGCAGGCAGGAGTGGGCAGGGGTGGTCAGGAACAGACAGATAAGGGCAGGAGTGGGCAGGGGTGGGTAGAAGGGAGCAGGCAGGAGTGGGCAGGGGTGGTCAGGAAC